TCAGGAGCTGATTACCCTCCTCCATCCCCAGCTCCTCTCGTTTCTCAGGAGCTGATTACCCTCCTCCATCCCCAGCTCCTCTCGTTTCTCAGGAGCTAATTACACTCCTCCATCCCCAGCTTCTCACGTTTCTCAGGAGCTGATTACCCTCCTCCATCCCCAGCTCCTCTCGTTTCTCAGGAGCTAATTACCCTCCTCCATCCCCAGCTCCTCTCGTTTCTCAGGAGCTGATTACCCTCCTCCATCCCCAGCTCCTCTCGTTTCTCAGGAGCTGATTACCCTCCTCCATCCCCAGCTTCTCACGTTTCTCAGGAGCTAATTACCCTCCTCCATCCCCAGCTTCTCACGTTTCTCAGGAGCTAATTACCCTCCCCCATCCTCAGCTCCTCTCGTTTCTCAGGAGCTAATTACCCTCCTCCATCCCCAGCTCCTCTCGTTTCTCAGGAGCTAATTACCCTCCTCCATCCCCAGCTCCTCTCGTTTCTCAGGAGCTAATTACCCTCCTCCATCCCCAGCTCCTCTCGTTTCTCAGGAGCTAATTACCCTCCTCCATCCCCAGCTCCTCTCGTTTCTCAGGAGCTAATTACCCTCCTCCATCCCCAGCTCCTCTCGTTTCTCAGGAGCTAATTACCCTCCTCCATCCCCAGCTTCTCACGTTTCTCAGGAGTTGATTACCCTCCTCCATCCCCAGCTCCTCTCGTTTCTCAGGAGCTGATTACCCTCCTCCATCCCCAGCTTCTCACGTTTCTCAGGAGCTAATTACCCTCCTCCATCCTCAGCTCCTCTCGTTTCTCAGGAGCTGATTACCCTCCTCCATCCCCAGCTTCTCACATTTCTCAGGAGCTAATTACCCTCCTCCATCCCCAGCTCCTCTCGTTTCTCAGGAGCTGATTACCCTCCTCCATCCCCAGCTTCTCACGTTTCTCAGGAGCTAATTACCCTCCTCCATCCCCAGCTCCTCTCGTTTCTCAGGAGCTAATTACCCTCCTCCATCCCCAGCTTCTAACGTTTCTCAGGAGCTAATTACCCTCCTCCATCCCCAGCTCCTCTCGTTTCTCAGGAGCTAATTACCCTCCTCCATCCCCAGCTCCTCTCGTTTCTCAGGAGCTAATTACCCTCCTCCATCCCCAGCTTCTAACGTTTCTCAGGAGCTAATTACCCTCCTCCATCCCCAGCTCCTCTCGTTTCTCAGGAGCTGATTACCCTCCTCCATCCCCAGCTCCTCTCGTTTCTCAGGAGCTAATTACCCTCCTCCATCCCCAGCTTCTAACGTTTCTCAGGAGCTAATTACCCTCCTCCATCCCCAGCTCCTCTCGTTTCTCAGGAGCTAATTACCCTCCTCCATCCCCATCTCCTCTCGTTTCTCAGGAGCTAATTACCCTCCTCCATCCCGAGCTCCTCTCGTTTCTCAGGAGCTAATTACCCTCCTCCATCCCCAGCTTCTAACGTTTCTCAGGAGCTAATTACCCTCCTCCATCCCCAGCTCCTCTCGTTTCTCAGGAGTTAATTACCCTCCTCCATCCCCAGCTCCTCTCGTTTCTCAGGAGCTAATTACCCTCCTCCATCCCCAGCTTCTAACGTTTCTCAGGAGCTAATTACCCTCCTCCATCCCCAGCTCCTCTCGTTTCTCATGAGCTGATTACCCTCCTCCATCCCCAGCTCCTCTCGTTTCTCAGGAGCTACATGCAGTTCATTATTAGTTCATGTTAACTAATGTTAACTAACGGACCTTATTGTAGAGTGTTACCAAAATAAGACATTTTTCTTTATGGTGACTTTAATATGCATTTATATATATACACTACCGTTCAAAAGTTTGGGGTCGGTACGATTTTAAATACTTTTAAAAGAATTCTCTTCTGCTAACCATGGCTGCGCTTATTTGATTAAAAATACAACAAAAATCAGTTATAGTATTAAATATTATTCCAGTGTAAATCAGCTGTTTTCTGTGTGAATATATAGTAAAGTGTAATTTATTCCTGTGATCAAAGCTGAATTTTCAGCATTACCAGTGTCAGTGTCTTCAGTGTCAAATGATCCTTCACAAATCAGTATAATATGAGGATTTGATGCTCAAGAAACATTTATTATTATCATCAATGTTGAAACAGTTGTTGGTCTGTCAGTTGTACAGTTTTTTTTTTTTTTTTTTAGGATTCTTTGATGAATAGGAAGTTCAAAAGACTTTTGTAACATTATAAATGTCTTTACTGTCACTTTCGATCAAATTAATTATTCCTTGATAAATAAAAGTATTGATTTCTTTCCTCCAAAAAATAAAAATAAAATTCTCACTGACCCCAAACTTTTGAACGGTAGTGTATACATATATATATATATATATATATATACACACTCACCAGTCACTTTATTAGGTACACTTTCTAGTATCTGGTTGTACCTTTTGCCTTCAGAACTGTCTCAATTCTTCATGACATTCGAACAAGGTTCTAGAAACATTATAAGAGATTTTGGTCCATATTGACATGCTATTGATCTCAGGCATGGAGATCAGCCGTCGGCCTCATCCACAACACTGACGAGTCTGCTGTCTGGTGCAGCCATAACAAACTGAGCAGAACACGCTCAAAACTGTGGAGATGATAGGAGGAACACCTCAGCCCCACTCAGCATCATGAGTCATTCAGGTTCCTGGGCAACACCATCTCTCAGGGCCTGAAGTGGGAGACTCGCATAGAATCCACTGTGAAAAAGGCCAACAGAGGTTGTACTTCCTTCGTCAACTGACACAGTTTAACTCGGATGTTATTGAGTCTTCTGTGCAGTTCTATAACAGTCTGGTTTGGGTCAGCCAGCAAATCAGACATGAGAAGACTGCGACGGACTGTTAGGACAGCGTGAAGCGTGAAGAAACGGACAGGTCTCATCACAGACTCCTCTCAGCCTTTGTGCACTTCTCCCGTCAGACAGACATTACACATCTCTGTGCACTACAACATCTAGGCATAAAACCACCTTATTTCCACCTTAAATAGCTAGCACACTTTTTTATTTATCTATTTATTTATTTTAATTCATAATTCAGTAGGCTACTCTTGGTGTTTATGCCACCTGAGAGTTAGGCAATAAATAGATCCTTACTTTGTAAATACATATATTTTTTTTAATATAGTTGTATATACAGTACAATGTACACATCTGCATAAGTCTTCTGATCTATATTACTTCATTTTTATTTTTACTTTATTTTCTTATTCTTAATTATTTAAATGTTATTTCCATTTTGTGTTATATATGTATGTACACAGAGCTCCTGGAAACCACAACATATTCCTTGTGTGTTTGCGCACCCTTGGTAAATAAAGCTCATTCTGATTCTGATTCTGAGATCTGGTGACTGTGGAGGCACTTTGAGTATAGTGAACTCATTACCAATATAAAATATGTTATTACAAATTGTTTTATTAGCATGTTATGGTTTGTATTTTTGTTTCTAAGATATTACTCCTTTGCAAGTGAACAGAGAAAGAATAAGGAATATGACTCCGATGTACTAAATGTCATGTAGGTGTGGGAAAAGTCCTTTGGAAACAAGCCCTACCGGTCTTTCAGCATGTCAGTGACACACACAGTCTGTGTTCATGGGTTCACGGAGTTCAACAATTTATATGAATAAACCCTTTAATGAGAATGGATGTTCAGGTTCTAGTTAATTACAAAACACACAGAAGAAATTTCCTCTGGCTCCTCGTGGAAGTCTTGGACTTGATTCACTTAGACTAAATAAAGCCTCTCTGAGTCTTCAGTCTGCGGAGAGAAAATATAATCATCAGTCATTCATAAAGAAGATTATTTGCATTCATTAGTGCTCTGGTTTACATTATAATGCTAAATTCAAGTACTAAAGTTCATATATCGGGTCAAGTCCATTAACAGATTGTTAACAGATGCCCACTATGCTCCCCTCCCGTAAATTACGTCACATTTCTGAACCACATTTCTCAATGAATAAAATGACACGCGATAGAGAATTTGAAAAGACACCTTTTTTAATTATACTGTATGTATGTCAGCATAAACATCACTAGACAGGCAGTGAACACATCTAGTTAACATTTATAATTAATATTTGTCTAAAGGATATGTAACAGAACAATGTGTTTACACAGCATAACAAACAGGCTAATATCAGAAAGAAATATATAGAAAGATATAGGTCTGTCAGGACACAGACTGGAGAGATCAGCAAGTATAAACAGTCAAACACTTTATTGACAGGGTGAAGTTTGCAGAGGGAAAACAACAGGAGCAATGGTGGTGAATGCAGACGGGAACTTGCAAGTGAAGATCCAAACACACTGATATGCAATAGATACCATTCCTTTGTTTTATGAGAGAGAGAGAGAGAGAGAGAGAGAGAGAGAGAGAGAGAGAGAGAGAGAGAGAGAGAGAGAGAGAGAGAGAGAGAGAGAGAGAGAGAGAGAGAGAGAGAGAGAGAGAGAGAGAGAGAGAGAGAGAGAGAGAGAGAGAGAGAGAGAGAGAGAGAGAGAGAGAGAGAGAGAGAGAGAGAGAGAGAGTTAAACTGTTAAAACAATTATGGATAGAATATTATTTTGAAAGCAAAAAGGTTTTGTGCTTGATCATCTGACAATATGGAACTAATACAATTATGAATATGTAATAGTTAAAAGTTTGTGCAATCTTTCTGTAAAATAAATATTACTTATTTTGATTCTTTTTTATATTTTTTTTTTTTTTTTATATTTGTGTGTGGCTTTTAACAAGTTTTAGGTCCACTGTAATTATAAAGCTAAGATGATTTGGTAATGTAATCTTAAAATGCATACAGTGTAGAGTGGGTGTGTCTCGGGTGGACTGACCAATCACAGCAGAGTCTCCGTGAGCCTGTCTAAGACCTGTAGCTGACGCAATACTGATAGTGGATGAACTTGAAGGTGTCTGTCCAGTGAAAGACATTTACACCTGCTCCTGTTGAACTCTGATGTAGTTTTAGGAGCATACGGTTCCCTTACCTGTTTCTTTTTAATTTATTCTAGAGGATTAGGGCGGTGGAATAAAAGGTGAGTAAATCAAAGTTTCTCTTATCGATGTTTTCATCACTTGATCGCAAAATTCAGCATACGACTGACGTGATTTTCAGGAGGAGTGTGTTTTATTGTAACACGCGCTAAATGTCGATCATTCCGCCGAACTGAGACATTGTAACAATTTAAGCGATACATGTAACTAGCAACCAAAAGTGAAATGTATCCATCATCAGATCACCGGCTGTGTGTTGTTACAACAGAAGCAGTTTGTGGAGACTGGTGTTGATTGGTACATAAAGACTGTCAGTCTCCTCCCAGTTTGTGTTCACGAGGCACGTTAGGTTGCAAAGTGCACTAGTTTAATAGTGTAAGGAAACTAAGTATATAATTGATAAAAGTTCTGAACTGAACAAAGAAAAGAAATAAAGAAGAATCTGTCCAGGGATTTAAATAATTTCCACGGTGAAGTTCTTGTTTGACAGCCTCCAACAATCGCATGGGTGACTCACTCAGGTTGGGCTACTCTGTGGAGACGGTCGACGTCGAAGAGTTCTGGCAGCGGTTAAAGAAACGTCAGGACAAATTAATAGATTCTAAAAGGACAAATCAGGAACGGTTCTTGAGTTGAAGTAGGTGGACATAATGGACGATTCATCCGATGATGGTAATCAAGATATGGAGTTCCAAGAAGTGCGATATAATAAAAGGAAAAAAGGAAGTAACATGGGTGATGAGTTTGAATGTACAAGTAAAATCAGGGATTCAGGGCAAAGGATGATGAGAAATAGTGAGGAAAAGGAAATAAAAGTAATGATCACATTTGTCAAACAAGCAGAGCAATACATGCATCCTGTTAAACTATCAAAAGCGATAGAAAAAGAAGTGGGATCAGTGAAAGGGGCAACATGTATGAGCAATGGAAGAGTCTTGATTAAGTGTAAGGATGAAAATCAGAAAGCAAAGATTCTAAAACTGAAAACACTAGCTGGTGGTAAAATAAGTTGTGCTGGAATAGATATGAAGAAACGTGGTGTTATTTCAGCAGTTCCTTTAAATGTAACTATGGAAGAAATAAAAGGAAACTTGATTGGAGGCAAAGTTGCTTTGGCTAGAAGATTGACGACATGGAAAGATAATGAAAAGTGTGATAGTCTTTCTGTGCTGTTACACTTTGAAGACAGCAATCTACCAGTCAAGGTAAAGCTAGGTTTCATCAGTTATGTGGTACGGGAGTATGTACCCCCTCCTTTGCGTTGTTATAAATGTCAGCGCATAGGTCATACTGCTGCTGTTTGCAAAGGGAAAATGCGTTGTGCAAAATGTGGAGGGGAGCATGAATACGGGAAGTGTCAGGAAGGAGCTGAGATCAAGTGTTGCAACTGTGGGGGAGAACACAGTGCTGCATATGCAGGATGTCCAGTGCAGCAACAGGCTCGTGAAATCCAAAAGGTAAAATCCACCCAGAATGTAACATATGCAGAAGCAGCTCGTAGAGTGAAACATGTAGGCGATACAAGAATACATATTGGACCGGAACAAACCTCTCAGATTGACAAGTCAATGGAACAGCTGAACTTGATAAAGAATGATTCAAATGACAACATTAACATGAACAAAACTGATTTTGTGGCTTTTATCTGTGCAGTGGTGAATGGCACTGGGCAGGTAGGAAGAAGATCTGATAAAATAAAAATTGTGGTAGATTGTGCAAACAAGTTCTTGAACTGCATCGGTATATCAGCAGAACAAATTCACAAGATTCTACAGTCTAAAGAAGGGAGAACAGAAGGTGGTATAACAACAAATTATGATGCATCTCAATGTAATGATATATAACATTATCATGTCTTTCCTGTTGCTTCATTGGAATGCCAGAAGCCTAATAGCTAATGGACAGGAGTTTAAAAAGTATATTGCAGATCTGAATAAATCTCCTGATATCATTTGTATACAAGAAACATGGTTATGCAAGTCATTAGACTTTAGGATGAACGGCTATGAGGTAATAAGGAAGGACAGGATTAATGGTAGAGGTGGGGGATGTGCAACATTCATAAAAGAAAATCTGATATATAGACAAAGAAGTAATGAAGGTAATGCAGAGAGTATATGTATTGAAATAATGGGTACACAGGGGGTAATCAGAGTGTTAAATTTCTATAATCCATGTTCAGAATTAACGATATCCTGAAAAGTGTTATGGGAGAAAAGGCGAATAAAATGATTATATGTGGTGATTTTAATGCTCACAATTGTATTTGGGGTAGCAGGAGTACAGATAAAAATGGAGAAATAATAGAAGAGTTCATGGAAGATAACTCTTTAGTATGTTTAAATGATGGCAATCCAACAAGAATAGATATAGCAAGTGGTAGAATGTCATGTCTGGATATCACAATAGTTTCAGCATCATTAGCTGGTAAATGTGTATGGTCAGTATCTAAAGATAATATAGGAAGTGATCATTTTCCAGTGACTTGTGTAATTCAAAATAAGATTCAACTACAAAAATGTAATTTTGGTGTAAAATGGATATATAAGAAAGCAGATTGGGGAAAACTTCAAATGTTATGTGAAGAACAATTCAAAAATCTCTCAGTAGAGGGTAGTGTTGATGACAGATATAATAAAGTAGTGAATGGCATTTATTTTGCAGCTTCTCAGTCTATCCCACTATCAAGTGGTGTAAATACAAGAAAGAATGTGCCATGGTGGTCAGAGGAGTGCTCGGCAGCAATCAGAGACAGGAATAAAGCATTTCAGTTTTTAAAAAGAACACTCACACCAGAAGCAGTCATAGATTATCAAAGAAAAAGGGCTTATGTTAAAAAGATTATTAAAAGTACAAAAAGGTCAGCATGGCAAAACTTTTGCAATATGATAGGGAGAGAAACTGAAATAAATGCAGTCTGGCGTATGATTAAAAAGATGAATGGAATTGACAGTTTTAAAAAAATACCTGTAATGGAGGAAAATGGGAAGGTAGCTATCACAGATAAAGACAAGGCTACTATGTTGGCTCAAACATTTGCTAAAGCTCATAGCATTGACAATTTAGATGATACATTTTTAACAAGACGTCAGCAAATTAAGAATATTTACGGAGATGTTTGCAAGAAAAAACAAGATTTTAATAATATTTTGGATGATGAGTTTAGTTATTTTGAATTAAAAACAGCAATTAATAACTCAAAGAGTACCACACCAGGAAAAGATTTGATAAGTTATAGAATATTAAAGAAATTATCACCAAAAGCATTAGAAATATTACTGGATTTATATAATTATATATGGAATGAGGGTATCCTTCCTAAACAATGGAAAACGGCAATTGTGCTCCCTCTTGCTAAATCTGGGAAAGATATAACAAAATCTAGTAATTATAGACCCATCGCTCTTACCTCTACACTATGTAAAGTAATGGAAAAAATGATTGTGAGGCGAATGAATTACATTTTAGAGAAAAGAGAATTGTTATCAACATTTCAAAGTGGTTTTAGGAAAAGTAGGTCTACAGCAGATGCTTTAGTATTGTTTGAAAATGAAGTTAAAAAAGCTTTTGTAATGAAAGAGTACATGATTGCAGTCTTCTTTGATATAGAAAAGGCTTATGACACTTTATGGAGGGAAGGTTTGCTAATTAAACTGAATAAAATTGGAATAGGTGGCAAATTTTATAATTGGGTTTTAGATTTTTTATTTGAACGCACTTTTCAGGTGAAAATTGGGGAAGAATTATCAGCTCCTTATAACATTCTAAATGGAACTCCACAGGGTAGTGCAATTAGCCCGTTATTGTTTAATTTAATGATCAATGATGTTTTTGATAAAGTGAATAAACCAGGAATAGGATTGGCTCTTTATGCAGATGACGGAGCATTATGGAAGAGAGGCCGTAATATTAAAAATGTGGTTAAAGGTATACAGGAGTCAATTAAAGAAGTGGAAGAATGGTCATTGGATTGGGGTCTAAAGTTTTCAGTCTCTAAAACACAATATATGCTATTCACAAAGAACAAGAGGAATGAACATTTAGATCTGAAGTTATATGATCAAACATTGGAAAGAGTACCTGTTTTTAAATATCTTGGATTATGGTTTGATAAAAAATTAACATGGAAATGTCATATCAGTAAAATTGAGTCAAAGTGTAAAAAAATCTTAAATTGCATGCGTACGGTGGCTAGTCACAATTGGGGAGCTAGCCGTAGTGCATTGTTGTGCATGTATCAAGCATTGATTCGTTCTTGCTTTGATTATGGATGTATTGTATATGGGTCGGCAACAAAGTCTTTACTGAAAAAATTAGATATAATTCAATCCAAAGCATTAAGAATATGTTGTGGAGCAGTTAAAACATCCCCTGTGGATGCAATTGGAGTAGAAATGGGAGAGATGCCTCTAGATATTAGAAGGGAAAAACTGGCAATTACATACTGGGTAAATCTTCAACAATCAGCAAATAATCACCTTACTCGCAAAGTATTGGAGGAGTGCTGGGAATACTCATATGATGAAGGACACAGTTTTGGATGGAAGAGCAGAGTATGGGCTAAGGAATGTTGTATGGACAATAAGATCTTCTGTCCCAATATACCACTTACTGATACTCCACCATGGAAAGTCCCTGAACCGCTTGTAGATTTGAGTTTACTAAGCAAGTCCAAAGAGGAGTACATTGGAAATGAGATTAATGCCTTTTTAAATAACACATTTTATTCAGTATTACAAATATTTACAGATGGTTCTAAGGAACCTATCAGTCAAAAGGTTGGATTAGGAGTATATATTCCATATTTTAAAAAACAGATTAGTTTGAGGTTGACCGATGAGATGTCCGTGTACACTGCAGAGTTAACAGCTATAATAATAGGCCTACAGTGGGTTGAACAAGTCAGACCAAATAAAGTAGTAATATGTTCAGATTCTTCTTCAGCTTTAATTAGTATAGTACATGCAAGATCAGACAGAGAAGATTTAATAATGGAAATATATTTATCATTATACAGACTGAAAGAGGCAGGAATAGTGGTGTATTTTTGTTGGGTACCAGCACATGTTGGGGTATCTGGTAATGAAGTTGCTGATAAACTAGCAAAAAAAGCACTAGACAAGAGGGAGGTGGATGTTAGAGTACCTATGGGGAAAAAGGAGGCAAAATCGATTTTAAAGAGGAAGTTAATGAATAAGTGGCAAATTAGATGGGATAGTAGTAGCAAAGGGAGATGGTGTCATAGTATCACACAGACAGTAGGGAAGATACATTGCCAGGGAGGAAATAGGAAAGAAGAGGTATTGCTGTCTAGGTTAAGACTGGGACATACAGGGTTAAACTCAACACTGGCAATTATGGGGTTACATGAGAATGGATTATGTGATGCATGTGGTGTATCTGAAAATGTATGTCATGTATTATTTATTTGTAGTAAGTATAATATTTTTCGGGATGTATTATTCAGTCATTTGAAAAATGGAGAGGATAGAATGAAGAATGAGGATATTCTAGGAAAAGGTTTAATAGACAGGCAGATATATAGAGCATTAATTGCGTTTATATATGATTCAGGTTTGGGATTTAGATTATAATGTGTGTAACGTTGAACCCGCCATGGGGGCTGAGTGTGGACGGAGGAGCTGAACACGCAGCGCCGGATGAAGCTCAATGAAACCTCTATTGCAGGTATGATAAATAATGATGATGTATGTGGGATGATATAGTTAGTAGACAGGCAGACAGTTTTTAAAATTCAGACTTATCACCCAAGGTTAATTTTCCATCCAGCACAGTAGGTGGCGATAATGCTCCTTAGGAGTTAATCGCCATTAAACAACAAGAAGAAGAAGAAGAAGAACAATCGCATTGCTGTGACCAACAGGTAACCTTCATGCAACGGAATTCGTTTTAATTTAAAGTAAGTTATTTAAGATGAATTTTTAGACTACGAAAGGGAATAATGTGACTTTTAAAGTGGTGATCAATTGAGTAATGAGCTAAATAATAATCTAATGGATTTGACTGTTATAGCCATGACCAGAAGGTGGCAGCACCGGGGTGTTTGATTTTGCCAAGACTATTCCTGGATCAACATATTTTTTTGATCCTAGAACAACATTCCTGTCCTAAAATTTAGTCCTAACCCAATCCCTTCCTCTAAACATAAACCTACTCATAGATAAAGACCCGAAAATCAGAGGGAAATGATAGGTACATTTATAACACTGATGTAAAAGCACCTAACCCTGCTGAAAGCCTAAACTTCACATAAACTGTAAATTGTCCCTCAAATCTGATTGGTTGATTGGATTTGTTCCAGGAACACGTTGCACTTGGTGAAACCATGTTCACCTTCTTCAGCCACATGTGATTTTATGACTCAGGGGGTGATTTTTAGTAAAACTAACAGATTTGTAGTTTTTTTATTTTATCATGTATGAAGGCCACATTAAAACTCTTCATTATTTATTTATTACAATATTCAAATATATTTTATGAATAGATTTGATTGTTGTATTCTTTTCCCAGACCCAGACATTCAGTCTTAAACTATGAATATGGTAATGAATTACATGCTTAAAACCCAACGATCTAAGATAAATACTGTTTCAATACTTCTTGTATGAACGTTAGCCTTATAGTTATATATAAAAGTATGCCTGTCCCTCTGTATTATTTAATCATATGTTTTTAGGATGCATAACCTATAATGCAGCTGTAAAATGACCCTTAGCAAGACAAATAAATTTATCATTTTAAAAGCTTTTGAAAAATGCAAAAGTAGAAAATGTTTCAGATTCTGATATTTTATATCAAACATTGAAACTGATTTTGTGACTCTTTTGGATGTGCTTTATGTGTGTTGGCAGTGAGTAGGAGATGCGGTCCTGTGTAAGAGCTGTGAGCGGGACGGCCCAGCGGCTTCACGTGGCTCCAGTCTGTGGCTCTCAGCCTCTCGCTGTTGTAGCTCGCAGTCTCAGTTTCTCTCCGTGCCGAGTCACATCCGATGCCAGTTTTCACTCAGTGTCCTCTGGATCAGATCATCCCAGAGTTCTCATAACCGGTACGAGTGCAGGAGACATGTGGCTAGACCAGTTATTGTGTAATGTTCATTTGTTTGAAAGATTTTCTGTGTGTAACTGTGTGTGTGTTTAAGCTTTGAGGACTAAATGGATGTTATATAAACCTTTAGATGTCACGTTTCCCTGGTTACCACATTCTGAAGCATGAAATGTAGTCTCCATGGTAACATATGACTAATGATGATTTTTAATCATATTTTTTCTCTGTTTTTGATTGTAGGGGGTCTGGGTCAGTTGGGAGTGGGTCTAGCCAAACTGCTCAGGTGAGACTGATTAAATTGCTCGATTTTAAAAGACCCTCCATTGCAATTTACCCGTGTCGATTAACTGGTAAAATGCCGGAAGTGGTGCATTCCACAGACGAGAATCCATGAACCGCATTATTAGACCATTTTTTAAGGCTGCACGATATATTAAAACCATTTAAATATCATAATATAGCAGAGTGCTATTGTGAAATCACGAAGACTGCGATTCGGTTCAATAAATATATTTACATGAGTGCATGAGTGTTTCTTCCCCTGTCTCAGTTCACAGTAATGCTGCTCCACACACAAACTCAGTCTCTAGTTGTGCTGTTTGTTTGGGTTTCCAATGACTTGCATTTGTGCTTATAAAATCTGACGCGCTTTGTATTTCATAGCGAAGTGTTAGCACTGTTATCATTTGCATGTGTGACGTGCGTCTCAGCAGCTCGATTTATACAAATACGCGAACTGTTGTTGAACCCTCGCTCTGAGTTTGCATGTTTTGATGTCCACATGTTCTTGTTCAAGAAATTACAGTGGCTGTAGCATTTCTATCGTAAAGGCCAATTATTAAAGATTTAAATGGACATTTGAATTAAATGTTTTTTTGCCAATAATAAACAAAGATTTGATCATGCTGTAAAGTGTAACAACAACAATCACCTGGTCGTTGGCGCCCTCTGCAGGCATTTGTTATAATACATAATGTACATACAGTAAATTGATTTCGTTCATGTGTATTACATTATGTATTTTAACAATAATTTGTATTTGTAATATGTATTAATAAAACCATCTGATTACTTGCTTTTGATAATTAGTTTTTTACCAATTATTATTGACTTATTGCTATTATATATGCATTTTAAGCTATTTTAAAGGCTGTTGTTCACTTAGGTCTATTTTTATCACCACAAAAAAACAAAGAAGTTCCACTTATTTAATTCATCATCAAAATTATCGACCGATTACTCAATTACCAAAATAATCGTTATTGACAGCCCTAGACTGAACGCTTTCAAAAGTTTTGATAATGTTCACTAGACTTCAGGCTGGAATGGACTACACGACTTTTGCCTAGATTTGCCCCCTGATTTTTGCTAAAAGTCTACAGGGTTTGATCAGTCAGAGTTGACAGATTTTATAGAAAACCTTGTAGTGTTTGATGGGAAGAGTTTGTATTAAAACATTTTTTAAAAGCTTTAGGCCGTGTGTCCACCAAAGCGTTTTAGCCAGCTGAAAACGCTAGACACTCTGCTGAAGACGCCTAGCTGTGGGCGCTTGAGAGCGTTTTGGTAGCGCAGCGTTTTTTTCGTTGAGACGTTTCGTTGCTATGATACAGAATATCCGCAGCACAGTTTACTTGTAACTGATTTCGCAGGTAATTTGTTTCATAATAAAAAAAATATTTTTCATCCATTTTGTTCGGTTAGCTCTGGTGGTTGATGTCGTTGTACAGAAAGAATGTTGTGACAGTTGGTCGGTGTGGTATTAGTCCCGCCCCTCCTCCACTGTGATTGGACGGCTGGGTAAAAAGTGACAGTGATGAGCGCTGCGTTTTACCCAAAGTTGAACATTCTTCAACTCTCGGCGACCAGTAAAAACGCAGAGCTCTCAGCGCTTCAGCGTGGAAAAAAACGTCCAGCGCCTCGTTGCGGTGTAGAGAGTGTTTCTGATTGGCTAAAAAAGTGCAAGACTCTTCATTTGCTGTCTATGGTTGTCTAATAAGATTGATTTCAGTAAACCTGATTTCATTAATATCTGTCTGATAGCAACTTTTTATTCATGGTATTCCAGAAAAAAAAATCTTGGGTGCTTCTCAATACTCAAATTGATACATCCTTGTTTCCTCGCTCCTCCGTCCTCCAGCCTGTGACTCGGAAACCAATCAAACTCAGCCATCTTGAAAGATATTTCAATTCTCTAATTGCACCGTGAAGAGGCGAGTGTCACGATTAGATCCAAGGAAGATGGAGATTATTGAAAGGTAACAAGTTTTAATAAATAACTCGGAAGCATAGCCAGCAGGCGAGACAGCGTGCAACGCACAAACAATACCGGACACTAGACAGAACACAGGCAATATCTTAAATACACAGTGGCGATTAAAGCAGCACTAAGTAGTCAAACAGCGACCCCTAGAGTCGCTGTGGAGTACTTGTACTGTCGTGAATAGCACTCACGCAGAGATGGCTCGCACTCACGGCCGGATCCCCTCCCCCTGTACACCGGTACCTGTTCAGTAAGATGGACGCTGTAACGAGTGGAAATAAGGTATGGCCCCTTTAAGAGCTGTTTAACTGTTGGCAGTCTGTATTGTCTGTGCGCCTCGAACACCACATGTATACGGCGCCAGGTTATTTCTGTTTGATGCTCATTTTATCAGAATTTTATCAGATCTGTTTTTTGCCGTAAAGCAATTCGTTACCTCGCGAGACCTGATATCACACGATACTCCCTTCCCGCCGGCCCAAAGTTGCAAGGGTGGTTTTGCGGCTCACAGGCACCAGGGGGGTGCGAGACGACCACCATTCAACACGAAATCAGTAATATAAACATTACAATGACTCCAAAGCTGTTCGGTTAAGGTAAAAAAGTTACTTAGTTCACCTTCAACTGAAAGATTAGCAGCTGTAAATGAAAGTAATTAGTGTCCATGGTGACTGATCGGTGGCGGGAAACACAGACAAGGAAACACGTGTGAGGAAGGAAAACAAACTAAAAGTCCATGAACTGAATATAACTGAACATAATGGTGACAGCGAGGAGCGAGGAAGTTTCCTGTGGATTCATGAGTGAGGATACACAGGTGTAGCCTTCCCTCGCATCCTAAGGGGGTGGAGCTAAGATGCAATGGAAGAAAGCGAGGAAAGGAAACGAGGATGCACAATTAGGAAATGAGAGTAGCACCCCTTGTTTACTGCACTCTTTGATTCTGGTAGTATTAAATGGTTAAATATGAGATTTTTGTTTATCTTTTGTTACAGGAAGGAGTTTGGAAAATATAATGTAATTCTGTCTGACATCAGGAAACCCCCAAATCATGTTTACCAAAGCGGTGAGTGTCAATATATTCACTTATTGTGGGAAGCATCAGTTCCTCTCCATTTTGAGTTGTATTTTAAATTTGAACACACTTTATTTTAGAAATATTTATAGATTAATATATACATATATATATATCAAAAAAAAAATTTAATTACAATGAATGATTTTAGGCTTTTAATTGTAAATTTTGACTTCAGGTCCCTTTATATATTCTGACATTTTGGACTACAAAAACCTGCGTGAGATTGTTGTAAACAACCGCATCACTTGGTTGATACACTACAGCGCCCTTCTGAGTGCAGTCGGAGAGGCCAATGTGTCCCTCGCTCGTGACGTCAACATCACTGGTTAGTCGCTGAGGGGTTTGACATCTGTTTTATTTGTATCATTTTCACCTTCAATCACTTTTCAGTGGTAAGGTACATAGAGGTTTCTTTTCCAACTTCCTCATCTTTAGGGTTGCACAACGTTCTTGACATTGCCGGAGAACATGGGCTCCGTCTTTTCGTCCCCAGCACTATTGGAGCCTTTGGCCCCTCCTCCCCTCGTAACCCCACCCCTGATCTGTGCATCCAACGACCACGAACCATTTACGGAGTGTCCAAGGTTCACGCTGAGCTAATGGGAGAGGTCAGTACATATTTGAGAACACCTGCAAATCCTAAACATTTTGGGGGATTTTAATTTTAGCATGATATTAAAAGAGAATGAGAAAAGAAAGAGTACAAGCCTAGGCATTTCATGAGGTCTTAATGCATATGAATTGAATGCATATTTTGCTTTGGCTATTATTCACACTGCATTATTCAATTCACATTTCTTTATTGTATTTTCCAGTATTACCATCACAGGTTAGGTCTTGACTTCCGCTGTCTCAGATACCCAGGAATCATTTCTGCAGACTCTCAACCTGGTGGAGGAACTACAGGTGAGCGTATCTCCTTTGGAACAGTTTTGTTGATGTAAACTAACACTTTTAAATAAAGCTGACATAAAATAGAAAATATTAGATGGAAAACATAAACTTAAAACAAACTTATAGTCCCCCTGTGGTAAAAATCAAGGGTGTAGAGTTACATTCAAGCTATTTTAAGGCATGAAGATTTTTTTTCAAGGAAAAAAAAACGCTTAAATATGTCATTTTGGTGATCAAAGATAAGTTTTTAGGGATAAAATGATTGACCACTAGCCTGGCTACGTCAGACTTCGTACTTCCGGTCAATTTCAGTTCGCTTCTGTACTCAGTCTAAAATAGCGACCTATCTCTCAGTTTTCCTCCGGCCTGGAAACAGCCGGCCAATCAACGAACAGAGGGCGGGCTGAGAGCCGTGACATAGACGCTAGGCGCCGAGTTTAAGATTGTATTTTAGGTTAGGGAAATCGAAAACGACCGCGGATATGGATATGCAATTCACTCTGTTGTGGAGAATATTCCTGGCATTTGCAAACTGAAGCCTATGGAAGCTTGTTTCCGCCACTGAATAAAAATAATTGCGACTTTTTATCTCACAATTGCGAGATATGAAGTCAGAATTGTGAGAAATAGTCGCAATTGCGAGATATAAAGCCGCAATTATGAGAAATAAAGTCGCAATTGCGAGAAAAAAAGACTTTTGATCTCACAATTCTGACTTTTTTTTCTCACAATTACGAGTTTACATCTCGCAATTCTGACATCTTTTCTTAGAATTGTTAGATATAAACTCGCAATTGTGAGTTATCAGGCCAATTCTAAGGAAAAAAAAGACAACTTTTTTCCCCTCAGAATAGTTTATATATCACAATTCTGACTTTACAACACGCAATTTCGACTTTATATCATGCATTTCAGACTTTATAACATGCAATTGCGACTTTATTTCATGCAATTCTGACTTTACAACCTGCAATTCCGACTTTATATCAATCAATTCTGACTTTATAACACGCAATTGCGACTTTATATCAATCAATTCTGACTTTATAACACGCAATTGCGACTTTATTTCATGCAATTCTGACTTTACAACACGCAATTGCGACTTTATATCACGCAATTCTGACTTTATAACCTGCAATTGCGACTTTATATCAATCAATTCTGACTTTATATCTCGCAATTGCGACTTTATATCACGCAATTCTGACTTTATTTCTCAAGATAAAAAGTCGCAATTACCTTTTTTATTTTTCATTCTGTGGCGGAAACAAGCTTCCATAGAAGCCCGAACAAGAAGAGTGTTTGTTAAACATTTTGAATGGAGGTGATGTTTAAGTTGGAGAGAGAGGTGATTGTGTTATGTGATTGGCTTATGGGTAACCAATGATTTTATACTTCAGACAAGTTAATTTAGAATATTAATAAGCCTTTCAGTTTATGCTCCTACATCATGCGCTTCATTACAGCCACACCGTAGCATCCGAAAACGTAGACTACTGACTTGTTGCCTCGCTGCCCTATCAGGCAATGATTTGCAGGCAGCTTTTGCGCACGAAGGTACCTCACGAAATTGATTCGGACAGACTTCTGAGGCAGCGTAATGGTTGAATGATCTACAGCAAAATAGAGCGAGCTTTGGTGAAAACTACGAGAATATTTAATGACTGCAATAGTAATTTCTCGCTAGGAATTACATCATAGGTGGAAAACGTAGATCAAAAATTTTTAATTACACAAACTGACGACCAGCCGCAACTTTCAGACGCCATCTTTATTTTTTTTAGCTCAACTCACAGAATGGAAAGCACAGGATTCTGGGATATAAAAAGCAATGAAGGATAGATCTATGCTGCCTTCAAAAATCGATCAGATGAAGGTATCTCAGGGGACAGGGAGTGAAACTAACATTGCATTCGGACGTGCCTTTATGCCTTCCGACCTTGGAAAGAGTCCTCAGAAGGCAGTATTTATCAATTTTCGGACGCAGCCACTGTGACACCATCATAATCTTTAATCAAAATAACTTTCCCTCCCTCTTGCAGCGTCTCTTCTCTGATGACAAAAGTCCTGACCTACATTTTTCTTGTTGGAGAAGCCGTTTCACTCGGATACACGTCACAATAGAAAGAAAAAAATATCTCAACTTTGGGTTCATGCTGACTTAGAATATACATCGTATAACAGTATATGATTAGTAACACTGGTCTGGAAGACTAATGCGTCTATGTAAACCCTTCACCTCCATTTATTCTGTCTCTTCTCTCAGACTATGCTGTCCAGATCTTCCACGATGCTGTGAAAACTGGCAAATTTGTGTGCAATCTGAGGCCTGACACAAGACTTCCCATGATGTTCATTGAGGATTGTATAAGAGCCACACTGGAAGTTCTGGAAGCTCCTGCTGAGGTACTCGGTATGCGCACATACAACATCAGCGCCATGAGCTTCACTCCAGAGGAACTGGTACGAGAAATCAGGAGGCACCTGCCAGACCTGCAGGTCACATACGAGATTGACCCAGTTCGACAGGCCATTGGTAAGGGTCTGACACATCAGTCGAAATCCAATTTAAAATCCTCTTAAATATCAATTTCTTATCTTCCCAAACTGAAGACAGGTCAGTGTGACATCTGTGTTACTGTTATTTCTTCTAGCCGATAGCTGGCCAGAGATCTTAGATGACACCAGTGCCCGCAGTGACTGGGGCTGGAAGCACGACTATGGTTTGCCAGAGCTGGTTCAGGCGATGCTCAACTTCACTGGATCAGACTCCAGAATGTCTCAAGCAAACTAATCTCCATCTGCCATCACGTGTTTTTGGGGCCTAATGGAAGGAATGGTAATCGGGCTCTGTAACTAACTGAGATTACTGAAGGTCAAACTTTCTGCCTTTTTCATATGTATTTGAACAGGTTTCCTGGTAAAGTAAACCAAAGATTTACATGGTTCAATTATATCCTTAACCTCCCCCATCAGCTTAATAATTAAAAATCTTACTGATAATACATATTTTATATTATTTCAGCTTTAAATTTGTTTTGTGGACTATTTGTTGTGTAGCAAGCAGTGTGAAATAATTAGCTTTGGATCTTTTATCAGTGAATATACTGAACTCTGGACAATACATTGTTTATTTGTACTCCTAGAATTATTTACACGACCATTCAGAAGTTCGGGGTCAGTAAGACTTTTTTATTTTTAAAATAAATGTATACATTTATTCAAAAAGGACACATTTGATAAATGACAGTAAAGACTATTTCAAATAAATGCTTTCTAGTCTTCAAAACATTGATAATAATAAAATGTTTCTTGAGCATCAAATCAGCATATAAGAATGATTTCTGAAGGATCATGTGACTGAAGACTAATGCTGAAAATTCAGCTTTGCATCACAGGTATAAATTACAATTATATCAAAACAGTTATTGTAAATTGTAATAATATATTACTGTATTTTTGATCCAATACATGCAGTCTTGGTGAGCATAAGAGACTTCTTTGAAAAACATAAAAATTGTACCAACCCCAAACTTTTGAATGGTAGTGTATATTTATGAGATGATGTATGCTTGTGTGAAAGAAATGTAATTTCATAAAAACAACAATCCTAATAATGGTGCTTTTTCTAAAAGGCATTATTAGCCTCTTAGTTTTATTAAAATAACCTCATCACTTATACTGTAGTTGAATTATAATTTGTTTTGTTCTTGAACATTTAATTTAATTATGCAGTCTTGACCTTTGTAACTCCAGAATATATATTTATGTATCTTTGATGGTTGTTTAGTTTTTAATGTTGAGCTGTAAAAGGATTAGTGATTAAATTAATTTAGTATAATTTGTGAATCACTGTCTTCTTCATTAGTATAATGTGATACCGTATAGTTCATCAAAAAATGTTATTCCAAACCTGTATGACTTTCTTTCATTACAAAAGAAGATATTTTGAAGAACGCTGGTGTCCAAACTGACTTCCCATTGACTTCCATTGTATGGGCAATGTTTTTCTTTTGTGTCTTACAGAAGAAAGTAAAAGTCATACAGGTTTGGAACATAAAGGTGATTGACAGAATATTTATTGTGGGGTCAACTTTTCCTTTAAGCTGTATAAAATAAAATAAAAATGTGGCTTGATTTTGGTCTAAAGAAATTGCACATAAAAAATTTGATTGTAGTGAAAAGTCACTGCCAAACTGTTCATATGCTTAATGAAATGCAGTCAATAAAACCAGAGCTGCCACTGGTGTTCTATGGACACTGCTTATTTTAAGCAACTCGTTAAGATGTGGGCATGAATCTCCTATTTTATCACTCCATTTGGTAAAATGGTGAATTTTAAAAATCAACCATTTTAGCTGCATTGTGGATATGGCCTCTACACACAGACAGTACACACAACATATACATAAAGAAGGTATTTATCTATTTTTATTATATTATAATATCTCAAAATATACAAGTTTTATAGAACTGTATTTCAAATTCACTTCTTCTTTGATTTTGTAGGAGTTGCCACACTGTGCTTTTCAGGGGAAACTGGTTGATTTGCGAAGTGCCTCAGTTTCATCTGCAGCAGGTTCTCGGTGAGACAGGCTTCCTTCATCAGAGACTCCATTATAATTTCTCCTTGAGACTGCAGAAAACTGCTCAGCAGCTCTTCTACCTCCTAAAGGAGAGAATTTGAGTCAAAGAAAAGTTTTTTTGCGATTAATTCTTTGATCCCATCTTTCATTTTATTACCAATGAGTTCATTAAAATCCCCCTGTGGTAAAAAAATTTCAATAAAAAACTTTGAATGTAGTTTATATGTCTGTTTTGTTTTTAATGTGCTTTAAGTCAAACCATGTACAAATTCATGTCAACACCATTGCTGAGTATTTTCTCCTTAAAACTGCGGTGAATCAAAGACGGTTTGAAATCGCTGGTGTTTCTGACGTCACAAACTACCTTGTAACCAATCACGTCAACGTGTGATCATCAATGAGTGGATCTCTGAGATGGTGCGAGTGAGTGGAGGCGGGACTAACTTACATATTCATAGAACCTTGTATACCAAATGAGGCAAGCTGAAGAGTTATATTCAAGCTATTTTAAAGCATGACGGAAAAACATTTCAAGGAAAAAACGTTTACATATGTAATTTTTGTGATCAAAGATGAGTTTTAATTTTAAAATGATTGACTACAGGGGGGCTTTAAGCACTGAAGCCTCATCTACAAAAGAAGATAATGGAACATTTGTGTAATTAGTTACTAAAACTCATTTGTTATATTTAGTAGTAGCAAAGTAAGCAGTTTTATTTTTTAACTCGTATATGAACTCATTTAATCATTAATGGGGCTTCGTCCAAAATCGCATACTCGAGTAGGTACTTTCATTTTGACTTCTAAAAACGATCTATATAGTATGAATGTAATCTGGACGTACTACATTTGCTTATTTCTCCGTATTACATTCTTCTTCCCTTATATATTTTTTTTCGTTCTCCTTTTCGCTCTTTCAATCATGAGCGCCCTCTAGCACAATTACACAGAGCACAACAACAACATTGTTTTCCAGTGAGAGAATAGTGCTGCAGGTCTCAGAAGTAAATATCCCATTTATTTTCTCCCCAGAGAAATTGATTTTCATCGACAGCACATAAACCTTTCAAGGCAGACCTACCACAAGCTGTGAGGCTGTTAAGCAATGATATATGCTTCTGTAGAGGCTGCAATCTTAGTCCATGTGTTCATTTTTATAAGAAAAACCAAAGCTGTTGAAAACGTGGCCAAAGCAGTTGTGCTCAACTGGGTTAAATAACAGAGCGGTGCTCCTTTAATCCATCTTATCTGGTAACTGCTGACAGCCTGCAGCTCCTTAAGATATTAAGCAAGAAGTGGTCTTCAGTATGAGGGTGATAACCATAGGACAATGTGGAACAGAAATAATCCTTTGATACTTCTGTCAGTATGAATTATTACAGCCTTCGCATTTCACATTGTGCAATATAATGGCAAACTTTGCAAAATACGTCTTTTTAGGTCAGTGCCGGTGGAAGCCCTGCGGATACGCGTCAGAGCCTCTCGCCAATAGTTTGGAGATTTACTTTGATGGTTTCTCAAAAGGTAATAGTGTGCCAAACAGCTACAGGGCAGCTTAGGATCATAATCCTGTTTAATATCACCACCGCTGAGCAGGAAACAACATTTCAGGTTGCTTCGGAGACACTGTCCAAACAATATGTCTACTTGATATTTATTCCTTTTGATAAACATGTCAATGAAAAGTTTACAGAGGCAAGCCATCACCATTACTTTTCAAAGCAATCATACTTATTTTTACCTGGTGGATGATGGTCGGTAAATCCCATAGAGTAACCTTTCTAGAGCAATTTCTAGATATGAGAATATAACAGAGACTTTGGGCTTGACCAGTAAGAAACCACCAAGTAATCACCCAGAACATCTTAGCAAATTTGAGTTTGTTGCTGTTTGCTCATCCGGCCTTCATATGGAAGACTGTAAACCTGCAAAGTTGCCATCATCTCTTTGAGTTCCTCGATTTCTGCTTCTTATCATAAATCATCCGTTTGTAGTGTTTATTATGTGAACCATCACTAGAGAGTGCAAAAGTCTGGTTCCAGAAGTAAAAACTTAATTCATTTTCTCAATAGGGAAATTGACTTTAAACAATAACTTATAAACCTTTAAAGACAGCCTTACTGTGAGCCATGGGGTTGTTAATTGATAGTACTTGCTCCAGTTGAAGCCGTCAGCCCGCATTACTTCAACTTAGTTTTAAAATAATTGTGTTTAACAGTGGAATTCGTGGTGAAAAACTACATGACCCATGATGCTGTACAGAAAATTCCACCAGAGAGTCGAAAAAAGCGTAATGCACCAAAATATCTCTTTAGCCCCGCCCACTCCCATGAGGCACTGTGAATGATGTAATCAAATCGCTCTCCCTACACTCTCAAAATACTTAAATATTTAAATGTATATGCATATTGTACAATAAACTTAAAATATATTGTTTTTATATATAATCAACATTTTAAATTTTTACGTTTTATATTTCTCCATCATTTTTAATTAGATTATGCTGTTCCCTCACTAGAGCCGTAAAGTACACAGTCTTGTAAATTTGTATTTTTGTCCAATTTTCAAATACTTTTTTGCTTCCAATCAAAGTTTTTAATGTTATGATTCACCTCGTAGCTGATTGGATTGGTTCATGGCTTATAATGGTTTAATGAAGACTTTTTTGAAATCCCTATGGGAGAAATTAATGGAAAAATACTTCCGGAACCAATGGTGCTGAAAAAGTGGGCGGACACTTCTGCAGTCTACTATTTACTCAAAGAAACATGCACATTTTTGCCTGGTGGATGATAAACCAGGTGGAAAAATCACATAGACCTACACCGAAAGAATTTCAAGATGTGAGAATATAACAGAGACCAGTAAGAAACCAGCTCATAATCATTCAGAACATGCAAGCAAATTTGGGTCTTTATACTGTAAATAACTGATATTTTGTACCTGTTTGCTCATCCGGCCTTCAAATGGAAGACTGTTTAAACTGGCCTGCAATGTTGCCATCATCTGAGCTTCAGCCTTCTCTTTGAGTCCCTCTATTTCTGCTTCTATTTCGGACTGAGCCAAACGCAGGTCTTTCAGAGTCCGCTGCTGTTCCCACTCCACAACGTCTGAACCTTCACAGAGGGGCTGCGGATGAGGTGGGCTTTCAATCTCAAGCTCGCAGCTGATGTGTTTCAGACTCGTCTCACCGTTTAAAAATGCCTGATAAAGCCACTGATGAGGAACATATGTTTTCACAATGAAGTCTAGGAGAACAGCATGATGAGCAGCGGAGAGACGAGGCTCTATCTGTGATAAATCATCCTTGATGAGGCAAATGACATCTGATGGCTTCAAACCTAATAGGAGTATTAAAAGCAAAGAATATCTCATTTATTAATCAGATCATTTTAAGAGTAGCTATTCTACAAAGCAACCTCTTTTTTTCTAAGATTAGGACGAAAATGTGTAAAAGATATATATCGAGATACTGTATCTACTAATCTAACTACAAATATTGCCAAAAGTATTGGGACACCCCTCCAAATAATTTAATTCAGGTGTTCCAATCACTTCCATGGCCACAGTTGTATAAAATCAAGCACCTAGGCATGCAGACTGCTTCTACAAGAATGGGTCGCTCTCAGGAGCTCAGTGAATTCAAGCGTGGTACCGTGATAGGTTGCCACCTGTGCAATAAGTCCATTCGTGAAATTTCCTCACTATTAAATATTCCACGGTCAACTGTTAGTGGTATTCTAACAAAGTGGAAGCAATTGGGAACAACAGCATCTCAGCCACAAAGTGGTAGGCCACATAAAATCACAGAGTGGGGTCAGTGTATGCTAAGGCACACAGTGCGCAGAAGTCGCCAACTTTCTGCAGAGTCAATAGCTACAGACCTCCAAACTTTGTGTGGCCTTCAGATTAGCTCAAAAACAGTGCGTAGAGAGCTTCATGGAATGGGTTTTATGGCCGAGCGGCTGCATCCAAGCCTTACATCACCAAGTGCAATGCAAAGCGTGGGATGCAGTGGTGTAAAGCACACCGCCACTGGACTCTAGAGCAGTGGAGACGAGTTCTCTGGAGTGACGAATCACGCTTCTCTGTTTGGCAATCCGATGAACGAGTCTGGGTTTGGCGGTTGCCAGGAGAACAGTACTTGCCTGATTGCATTGGGCCAAGTGTAAAGTTTGGTGGAGGGGGGACTATGGTGTGGGGTTGTTTTTCAGGGGTTGGGCTTGGCCCCTTAGTTCCAGAGAAAGGAACTCTTAATGCTTCAGCATACCAAGACATTTTGGACAATTTCATGCTCCTAACTTTGTGGGAACAGTTTGGGGATGTCAGCCCGTCTAAATTGGTCCACTGGCGGTATCCGATAGAACGGGTGAAGGTTACTGCGTGTTATTGTCTTTCCTTTCACGCAACACAACAAGATTAAATAAATAAAAAAAATGTCATATGTATTACCTCGTTATTTCATCTGACTCCATAAATGAAAAAAAGTTTTAATGATATCTGAGCGAATGTTTGATTATTCTTTTTAACTCTTTACTTATATGTTACCTGTTCATATTAGGAAACTATGTCGCTTTGAGGTCCTCACGCCTTCTGTTTAATGCGGGTCTCACGATCACAAGCTCGTCAGTTTTCGGCCACTAAACAATGGTAATTGGCTATATACCTGAGTTGATCACGTTCACGCTTACACAATCACCTTGGTTTTTGTATAAAGTAACGTTTACTTCAGGCAGAGGTATGTCCACTACTACAGATCTCTTATAATATTTGGCCATGCCGTGGTTTTCCACGTACACTTATCTAAAGTAACATTAAATTAAAACAGAGGTAAGACACACCCATTAGTGCCAAATTAGTGCCAAATTCTAATCTGACGGAGACTTGCGGTAACATACAAATTCGTTTAATCTACTTGGGAAAACAATTTCAGAGTCAGTCAGAATAAAATCAAATGTTTACAATTTATTGACCAGGTAATAAAACAATAATTCAAAATCCAATTCATAGAATAAAATCATCGGTCAATCATATATAATAACAACAATTCAGAAATCGAGGAATTGTAGAAATATTTACCTGGCAATGAAAACTACACACAGCGATCGTGTGAAGTCTACCAACAGACAAACCTTTTGCCAATTTTCCTTATAAACCCAGATAATTCAATATGCTTACCAAATGATGGTGTCTGTCATTATAATTCGATTTTGGTCCCCAATTGAGGGGTTCACAACTGTGGGATCAGAATTTGTTATTGAATGGGTTCTTGATACCTGTAGAAGAGGTACATACGGGAGGTAGTTTGAATGGAGGATCTGTGGGAGGGCACACCTTTAAGAGGCACACCACATTTCTAATTTTCTAAAACTTCTTTTAGCTTTGCATTATGGCTGGGAGAATGAGACCACTTTACCAGGCGCACGAGTCACTTTAAATGATACCAAACATGTATAGTTTTTGCACACTTAACATTGCATAGGTTTTTTCAGTGAGTTTTAGGTGAGGAGGAGAAGGGGGAAGCAGGGGGAGATGATGAGACTGTAAAAGTGAGGTGTGAGCTGCACTGTGTGGTGCGTCTCGGATGTTGCTGTTACATATCCAAGAGAGAGTTCAAATGTTAATTCTCAGAAGAGACATTTGCTTTCTCGAGGGGTAGCCCAGACTTGCTGGCACCCACCTTACAGGGATGGCCCCATTCCTTTTCCAACATGACTGCGCACCAGTGCTCAAAGCAAGGTCCATAAAGACATGGATGAGCGAGTTTGGTGTGGTGGAACTTGACTGGCCTGCAACTTCAACACGATAGAACACCTTTGGGATGAATTAGAGCGGCGACTGCGAGCCAGACCTTCTCGTCCAACATCAGTGCCTGACCTCACAAATGCGCTTCTAGAAGAATGGTCAAAAATTCCCATAAACACACTCCTAAACTTTGTGGAAAGCCTTCCCAGAAGAGTTGAAGCTGTTATAGCTGCAAAGGGTGGGCCAACTCCATATTAAACCCTATGGATTAAGAATGGGATGTCATTAAAGTTCATGTGCATGTAAAGACAGACGTCCCAAAACTTTTGGCAGTATACTGTATCTCTCTATAAAGCACTAAATCTATCTATCTATCTATCTATCTATCTATCTATCTATCTATCTATCTATCTATCTATCTATCTATCTATCTATCTATCTATCTATCTATCTATCTATCTATTTATCTATCTAGGCTGCACGGTTAATCGAAATTAAACTGAAACCGCGACTTTTGTGAAGATCGGCTTTGTTGTGATCAGTACTTGCTGCTCCATCTCTGAAAGCACCGCAAGTTTGAGTCGCTTGATAATACATTTGTTTTTCTCCAGTGTGCAGAATTGTACAGGAGGGTTTTTTTTTTTTTTTTTTTGCATAAGAGACACCATCAAACTGAACACAAATGCAAAGATATATCCTAATCTCAATAATTAATTCGAAAACATATTAATAAATAAAAGTATTGCCGTAATATTTATTTCGCTATGAACAAAATAACCTTTTTGCAGTCTAAGAAAATAACGCATTGACTTCTAGCCGTCCCTGTGATCACGTGATAAACAAGTATTTTGCGGTCATCAAAACCATAGCAGAGGGGACCAAAAGGGACATTGTCAAATGACCCACCTTTGAGTTTCGGCAGGAGATCTTTGGTGATGTTTGCCACTTGTGCTACTGTTGACCACGACAGTCCTCGTGTAATTGCTAACATCACATTCTCATACACAAACTCTTGATGTAAATACTGTCGTTTATCGTCACCATCAAACTCTGTCCAGTAGAAACAGCTGCTCAGACATTCAAGACCGTCATCTCTCTGAAACAACACATATCAGATATGAGGTTTTAGACAACAGGTCCTGTGTGTGTGTTAATGCGCACACAATCGTCGTTCACAGTCAGTGATAGTTACTGTATCGTGACTTCGGATGCATCACGCGCATCTGCTTCGTGTTTCTCGCCTCTATCAACAAGTGCGCGCGCAGGTAAGAGCCATTGATTTTATATCTCGTTCGCGCTGTTTATTTTAAGAATAAATTGTGTTTATTTGTGTGAGAATGCCGTAGAGTCAAAGGCAAATAGCTGCAGGTTTACCTTCATCCTCGATATCTCCTGTAATGCGTGTATGGAGGCCATCATGAGACGACTGCTGTTGTGTTTGTTGCCAGGGAAACCCAGAAGATTTATGTTCTGTTAAATAAGACCGTGTACACTTTAGACATAAGAATATTCTGATATTAATAATAATTATTTGATAATACTGCACATACTAGACTCAATATCAATTAATTTTGTTATTGGTAGCCTGATAATATTTGTATTATTATCATGAATAAATTACACTTGAGGTATAGTCTAACATTCATCATTTAATACATTTGATTCATATATAATAATATATTTAATTAAAATTGAATTGACATGTTTGCCCCCCATAAACTGTACAATATAAGAATGTCATCATTGATGTAATTTTTCCATGAAATATATAACCCAACATATAACTTTTTAAATAATGGTTTTGTGTGGTAATCATGTTGTATTTGTTTTATTTTAATAATTTGCTACATTTGTATTAATGTGAATATTTTATTATAATGTAAAATTATTATTATTATTATTATTATTAATCATGTTGATATTTTGCTAAGAACAATATTTAGATTTTTTTGTAATAATGTGATTAATTGCTTGCTATTTTCCTTGGTAGTTTTTTTTATAAGAAAAAATCGCTTAAATGACAATGCACAATGTCAACATGCAGTGTAACTTTTTTTTGGTCAGCGCAGGCCATTAGTTTTCTATATGTGTGCATTTCTATGCCTAAACCATGAACAACAGCTCATTTTTGGAGATCTAAGAGTTAATTCCGTTTGGCACAGATGGCCACACAGTATAATCCTCTTTCAGAGGAGTCCCACTTCTCCTCCTCCTCCTCCTCCTCCTCTTCTCTGGATGAAGGTCCGCCTGTGATAATTAGCCTAATGGAATGAATGACTGTGAATAGACAATATGCAGCTGTGGCATGTCCGTGGTTTGTCGACGTGGGTGAAAAGTGACTTTCTTCACAGGAGGGAACGCCATGCTGTCATCCTCACCTGCGTGAGCCGGAGGGAGGAGCGCTCCTTTTTGTAAGAAAAACTGTTGAATTTTCTAAATGGATTACTTTAAAAGTATCGACAGAGCTTGGAGGTTTGGTGTCGGAGGATTTGGCAGTCGAGGCGAATGAACCTGTGCTTACAGGGTAAAGCCAATGTGTGGAATTAGGAAAGAGAATCAAGATGGCTCTATGTTTGGTTAATAAAAAGGTCTGTTTTAGCTTAATGGTTTTAGTGGAACATGCTAAAAAAAAAAGGATTTTCTTACTTAGTAGTTTTGTCTTGTTTTCTAATACAAATATCCAGATGAATCAACTTTATACATTTACTTTAAATGAGAAATCTTGTCTTCTGAAAAATATATCAAAATTAAGTGAGTTTATGCTTAAAAACATCAAGAATATCTGCCACAGGGGTATAAGAAACATAATCTTGTTTCCCCTTTGAATTAAAGGGATAGTTCACCCAAAAATGAAAATTCTGTCATCATTTACTCTCATCATGTCGTTCCAAACCTGCAAGACTTTCGTTCATCTTCGGAACACAAATGAAGATCTTTTTGATGAAATCTGAGAGCTTTCTGTCCCTCCATTGACAGCTACGTAACTGACAATTTGACTCTTCAAAAAGTTCATAAAGAGATCGTAAAATGAATCCATATGAATTTTCTGAAGAGACGCGATCGCTTTTTATATTATATGATGAACAGATTGAATGTAGTATTTTATTCACCGGAAGCGCTGCACTATGTTTACTACGTGAAAAGCGTAGGAGACTGACATGGAAGAGAATCAATTGTTGAATAAAGTCGTTATTTTGGGGGGGGGGGGGTTTCGCACAAAAAGTATTCTCGTCGCTTCAGAATATTAAGGTTGTACCACTGGAGTCACATGGACTATTTTAATGTTTATGTCTTTACTACCTTTCTGGGCCTTGAAAGTGGTAATAACATTGCAGTCTATCTGGGGTCAGAAAGCTTTTAGATTTCATAAAAAAGATCTTCATTTGTGTTGCGAAGATGAACGAAAGTCTTACGGGTTTGGAACGACATGAGTAATTAAAGGACTTGTTCACTTCAGAATAAAAATTTCCTGATAATTTACTCACCCCCACAAGATGTTCATGCGTTCTTTCTTCAGTCGAAAAGAAATTAAGGTTTTTGAGGAAAACATTCCAGGATTTTTCTCCATAGTGGACTTTAACGGTTTGAAGGTCCAAATTGCAGTTTCAATGCAGCTTCAAATGGATCTACATGATCCGAGGAATACGGGTCTTATCTAGCTAAACGATCAGTCATTTTCAAAAAAAAAAAATATATATATATATATACTTTTAACCACAAATGCTCGTCTTGCGCGTCGATTTCATGCATTACGTAATCACGCTGGAAAGGTCAGGTTTAAAATAATTTAAACTCATCTCATTTTTTCCTCCAACTTCAAAATCGTTCGACATTGTTGTTTTACCTTTTATGTATTTACATTTTTTTGTATAGGGCGTTTAGTCTTTGCACGTTCGCTTTGTAAACACTAGGTCGGTACTTCCGCCTACATCACGCGTGACCTTTTAACGTGATTACGTGTGTGACGCATCACAGCTAGTGCAAGATGAGCATTTGTGGTATAGAAAAAGTATATAAAAATTCATTTGTTTTAAAAAATTACCGATCGTTTCGCTAAATAAGACCCTTATTCCTCGACTGGGATCGTGTAGAGCTCTTTGAAGCTGCATTGAAACTGCAATTGGGTCATTCAACCTGTTGACAAACCTTGAAGTCCACTATATGGAGAAAAATTCTGGAATGTTTTCCTCAAATTTTTTTATTTCTTTTCGACTGAAGAAAGAAAGAAATGAATATCTTGGATGACTTGGGTGGGGGTGAGTAAATTATCAGGAAATTTTCATTCTGAATTCTGACGTGAACTAATCCTTTAATGACATAATTTAAATTTTTGGGAACTAACCCTTTTAGTTTATTTCTCTGACCACTTTGGCAGATATTTGTTCTTTTGTTAAGCTTAAACTCATTTCATTTTTAACTCAAAACAAGTGATTTAATTTAAAACTCATTACAAGTGATTTTGCATACCTTGATTTAAGAATGTTTAGAAACTGTACGGAAGATAAAAATACTGAAGAAGACAGTCATTTTTTTGCAGTGTGAAGTAAGGTCTAAGCTAAAATGGGAAAATGCAATATGGATTACAGACTGAAGTATTATTTGTGTGAGAGATGATAATAGGTTTCACAAATATGTTACCAGCAGATGAACTGATGCATTGCTTTGAATGTCAGTGGTTACAAATGCTATGAGTGTAGGCTAGCTGTCACAATATATAAAGCATTTCTTATTATGTAGCCATATTTACAATTCTCATTACATAATTTTTTTATGTTGAAAAGTGACTAATATCTAAGGGTGTTAAGTATATTAATTAAGCGTTAACGATCTTGGTTATTATAGGCCTTTTATAGGCATTATGGGAATCATTTTACACAGTTTTAAATTCTTTGCTAATTATTTAAATGATCCTGAACAGATCTGTTAAAGTTTTTTTCGTGTCCCCTCCCTCTTCTCCTACATATCCCATGAGTCTTAAACGTGTCTCAGTAATTTGACAGCGTTGTATTGCAGGTTTCTCCCAATGGGCTGCCAAGTTCTCACTTACTATTTGTGGAAATCATGTGTAGCACTGTCAACCGTTAATTTAACCTTTAGAGATTTATAATTAGTGTCAAAAATATACACCTCTCAGATGTGTTTAGTAATTAATTAGCTCTAAATGAGCTCTGTGCTTGGTGTGCCATTGCAAGAGTTTGCAGCGTCGAAATCAAACATAGAATGTTAAAACATCCGTATTAATGTTCCCTCTGCTTGCGCGTAATAGCGGGTCACTTAAGAGTACAGAGGATGTGCTGTCTTTTCCTGAGATTACAGTAAGCCTGTGCTTTGGCAGTCCTAGAGTGAGCAACAATCAATCATGTCCTGTTACACTGTGGTAAAATTTAGTTTTTAAATTACTTTTGGCCAGTAAGCAATAGCCTGGAACACCCTAGCAAAGCCTTGGTAACCACTCCGAACACCTTAGCAACTCTATAGCAATGTCTTGGCAACCATCGACAATACCTAAGCATGCACAACAAGCATCACTCATCATTTTATACAGAAAATGTCTAGGTTTAAATGTCTAGCAAAGCTCTTCTGTTACAAATTAAAAACGGCATAAAATATTCAAAGTGCTAAATGGTTATAGTATGGGGTTAATCACTAGTAATGGTTAATCACTGCTGGATTCCGAGAGAGTAAGCAGCCATAGGCACTATTTACATTCACTTTCATCTCACGGTGTCCTTAGAAACTGAAAATAAATCAGTTCGAATTAAGTACCAGTTTGATATTATCATAGGAGCATTAATTTTCAAACCATGAGAAAGGTTCACATGGAATATTCACTATGCAGTCAGTTATTCTATGAAGAGTTCAAATCTGCTATGTTGTCATTACAGATTCTATATATAAATATATATATATATATTATATTGCCTGATGTGTATGTCAAATCTGAATTTCATGAAGCATGTTAAGAACATATCAGGGTATATTTCACCCCCAAATATAATGAAAGATAAAATTAAAAATATAATTATATAATTCAGTGCTGTCAAAGCGATTAATCGCATCTAACATAAAAGTTTGTAAATAATACATATGTGTGTGTCTGTGTATATGTACTATATACAGTATACTGTGTGTATTGATTTGAAGGCACCAGTATAATTGAACTGTTTTGTATCGGGGTTTTTTTATATAGTAATTATGTAATTGTTATATAATTAAGTTACATAAAATTATATTAAAATGTATCATTGTAATATTGTAATATAAAAGCGTAACATGGATATTTGTGAGAGTCACCAATAGTGTCTTGTGATTGTTTGTAGTTCAAATTAATATACTAACAGGAGTGGCATGTTATGTCAGTCATCAGATATAAGCAGTAGAGAACTGAGTGAATTTGACAGCAGATGTATTTTCCACCTATAAAACAGTCTGCGATCTGGGGTCAAAAAGCAGTAGATCTGCGCATCTCTGTTTATGCAATCCTGGTGTCGCTGTCATGTGTCTCACTCCCCTAGAGTTCAGTGAAATCTCAAGATGATTAAAGAAGCTTTCTGTTCTATCCTTAGCTGCCAAAGGCCCTGATTAGTGACCAGACTGTTTGTGGGAGGGCTTGTAAACTTGTGTCACTGTAGCAGTCGTGTGCTTGGATGCTACCTGGAACGCTGCTCTGTATAGTCAGATTTTATTGTTATTTTTCATTTTTTATACAGTTTTTTAGCATCAGATATGATAATGTATTCTGTAAATGTAAGTATATTGTTCATATTATATATATATATATTTCATATACTATACTTTTTTTGATTTTAGTGGGCTACAGAACTAATGCTATTTTAATTTCGCCTAAATTGCCTAAATTTATCGAAATATGCCTAAATACGTCTATATATATATATATATATATTATTGATAAAGTGAGTTGTTTAGTGAAAACATGAGCTTGAGGCAGTATGTCATGGCTTTTGTGGTCAAATATAGATAAATTATCTACATTTTATACATAGAATTAGAATGTCATGATACTGTCATTAAATGTTTTTTTTCTCCAGGTACACTTTTATTTTTCAAAATTTTGTTATAAGAAATCTGGTAAAACTATCTTTGCTCTCAGTTTGATACACAAACTTTGCTCAGAGATGATGCGCTTGAACTTTAAATGTTGGATTAAAGTTGCCTATTAAGGACTAAGTACTAAATGCAATTTAAGATAGTCTGTAACTGTTTCTCAACGTGCATGAGATTAACCTCTGAACTGGGGCCTAGTTTTACGGTTGCTTATACTACATAACATCACAGGTCATCTAAAGTGTAATAGTTTAATACAAGTTTGACTGAGTCCTCATGGCATGACTGGGTTGCAGTTATCACAATATCTGTGTTTTCTGTAATACCATGGTGTTCTTTGGTATTTTGGAGTACAATGATAACGCCATGGTTCATTGTATGAACATGCTAATGCACTTTCATGGTACTGTATAGATCAAAGTACCATGGTACTCCCACATTATTTTGTGATGCTGATGTCTTTAGGGTGGTTCTTTGCCTCCACATCGTGCTGTAAAGTCATTTAATGCACAGCTAGCCGTGGATTAGCCCATACTTAAACTATCCAATAGTGATATTTTATGAACTATATTTCTAAATGAGAGTTTGAAGACTGAATACCTGTCTTAGTTTGAGATACCTGACATATTTTAATGCCCTTTCACAACAAAGATAACTATAATGATAACAATAAAGACAGCAAGACACCGTTCTAAAAAATGTTCTAAAAAATAAAATAATAGAGTTCACACCACAACTTTAACGATTAAATGATATTGTTGAAATCCCTTTCAGAAAGATTTTTTTCAGCTGATGAACGTTAAAAACAAAACAGCTAATCAGAATCCACCAGACTTGAAAGAACTCAAGCATTTAAAGCAGAAGAGGACTCTTAAGTTATAATAAACTGAATGATTTCGTCCACTAGTGTGGACGCTCATATAGTTGTCTGCTAACACTTTAGTTTAGGGTCTAATGTTACTAGGGTATTGGCTATTTATTAGTACTTATTAAGCACATATTAATACCTTATTCTGCATGACCATATTCTACATCCCTAATCCCACCCAATACCTAAAATTACCATATTAATAATCAATAAGCAAGCAGTAATTAGGAGGTTGAGGCAAAAGTCATAGTCAATTGTTAGTTAATTGTGAGAATTCTTTCAAAATTTATGGGCTTGAATTTGATTGTGAGTTACAGATAATGTCATTCACATTTCCAAACTCTTCCCCACAGTTTGAACTGACGTGGAGGAGAGATGCAGAGGGCGGCCCCAGGGTCCTTCGACGCCGATACCCTTTATCAGAATGAACAGTTTCCTCATCCTCCAGTGTCGTCTTTTGGCTCAAGCGTGAAATTGGCCAGCCCAGCCAAGAGAATTACCTTCTACAAGAGTGGCGACGCTCAGTTCAAAGGGGTCAAGATGGCCATCCATAAACGCAGCTTCAAATGCTTTGATGCCTTATTGGATGACCTTTCCCAAAAGGTTCCTCTGCCTTTTGGTGTGCGTACTATCACGACCCCCAGGGGCACCCACAGCATTAAACATTTAGAGCAGTTTGAGGACGGAGGCTGTTACTTGTGCTCTGACCGCCGCTACGTCAAGCCAATCAACATAGAAGCTGCAGGGAAAAGGCCCGCAGTCTGGCACCACCACAGCCACCCACATAATACTCGCCGGAAGCCCTCCCGACCTGAGGAACCCCCCTCGGGACATCAGCAGCACCATCGGCACCCCAAAAGGATTGTTCTAGTGAAAAACAATGACCCTGCTATTAGGCGATCCATCATTCTGAGCAGACGAACTGCTCGAAGTCTTCGCGTCTTCATGGACGAGATTTCAGAGCTAATGCAGTGTCACGTCAAGAAACTTTATACTCTGGAGGGACGCAAGGTCAGGGAGGATTTCATTTCTTCAGCCATTCTTTAATTAGCCGGGCCTAGTATTTTAGGAGGCAGGTGTCAGGTCAGGACAGAACTGCAAGCCCTGGAAAATAAAAGTTGTTCTAGCTACTTACAGTATCTAAATGTATCTTTAAGGTGTAGTTCACCCAAACAAAACATTTGTGAACTCTCATTTTGTTTCCCACACATATGATTTTCTTTCTTCTGTGAAACACAAAAGGAGAAATTAAAGTATGTTTACATTGTTCTTCCATATTGTGACAATCGGCGCTATAAAGGATAAAAACGATCCATAAGACTTGTTTGCTGGTGTTCTGAGGAACGGACCAAAATTTTATTAAAAAGTCATTATTTACTGAAAAACTTGCCCTCCACCATAGCTCTAAAATCTTTTTCATGCATGCACATATTCTGTATTGATGGCAATGACACCAGTTGCCAGTGGTTTTTGCGTGTCTCATAACCAAACGTTTGAATGTGTGTATGGACTATTTGAGCACTACAGGGCAAGAGTTTTAGCGAATAATAAATGTTTATAACAAATTTCGCTATATTTGTCCTTTTTGGAGTTTGACAACCCCATGCAATGCCCATGTGCATTAGTAAAAAAACTTTCTGCAAAGCATCTCCCTTTTGTGTTCCATGGAAGCCATACAGGTTTGAACAAATATTAAGAAGATGAGTAAATGACTCCAGAGTTCTCATTATTGGTTGAACTATTTCCTATAACGTTTAAAATCAGCATTTTGTGTTTAATTTGTTAATTTACATATTTACATAAAATAATATGCTGCTATTGTCATTGGAGAGAATCATTATGTTTGAGTTTTTATGATTTAGGGTTCACAATTCTAAAATGAACCGTGTTTAGCATTTTAGATCAGTCACAAAAAAGGTTAAGATAAAATGTTGATGTTAGAAGGTAGCTGCCTCTGTAGACAGTGATAGTAAGTATTTGTCTCTAAGTGGATTTGACTCATATGTATTTTGTCTTGTGTTTATTCACTGCTCTCCATAGATTGACAGTATTCAGAGTCTGATGCAGTGTCCTAGTGTGCTGGTCTGTGTGGGTCGAGAACCCTTCAGACCGTTGCTTATGGAAAGCTTGAAGAAGCTCTCAGATGAAAAGCTTCCAGGAATGCGCACAAGGTCTCACTCTAGTATCTGCAGTGAAGGTCATGAAAGCAAAAAGAATGGTAAATATTTTTTCTTATTGTGTACACAGTTCGGGATAACTATCGTTTATATTTATTTGCTTTAGGTAAATCATCATAGTGATTAACAAGCCCATGCACGTCTAATAATAGACTGAAGGTGAAACAACCATCCACCACCAACTCAAATGCAGTTAATGTATTATCAGCGCTGGTAAATCAAGAGCATGTTTTAAATAGGCGTCGATATAGTTGCTTGTTGAAAAGAAGTTCTTAATTTATTAATATCTTTTCTATTATTTTGTTTTAACAGTTAACTTTGGCCTGGAGACAAAGAAAAGCATTATCCATCCAAGATCCGACTCCAGTAATAGATCTACAAGATTCTCTCTTTCTTCAGAAAAGTCCTATCAGAATGGAGTATGCATGACACCAGGACAGTCCGGCTGTGTCAGCACCTGTCCTTACGTTAAAGAAGCCATAGTGAATGATGACATTGAGAAGAGAGTGCTTGTTAACAAAGACGGCAGCCTTTCTGTGGAGATGAAGGTTCGCTTTCGGCTTTTCAATGATGAGACTCTCCAGTGGTCTACTGAGATCAAGAAGTCATCAAAAAAAGTGAATGACTCTGGCTTTGTAAAAGACGGCGATTATCTTCAAGCTAAAGCTGAGTATTCAGACCCAGATTCCCTCTCTGCATCTGAGGAGACTGATGAAGCCTTTGCAACAAAGCTGCATCAGAAGCATCTCGAGGAGTCACTTTGTCAGAACTGTTGCAACCACTGCCAAGAGTACGACATCTGGAAAAACCCCATCCACAAAGACCCGGGGGCCTGCAAATCACCCAGTTCCAGTGGATCAACTCACAGAGTTGTAAGCAAAAAGTCATCGGTGGATAGTATGCACACAATTTCTCGCTCCAGTGGGGAATACACTGAGCATGTGGTGGAAAAGGCCTCGTGCTTTCAGCAGACAATGGAGGAAGGGGACACCAGAGTAGAATACTGTGCTGTAAGTCATTGCTGCAATCGAAGTGAAGTATCATCTGCTGGAATCACGTCAAAGAGCAAGAGATCTTGTGAGGACAGCTGTGAGAGTCACATTAAAAGTAGATGTTCTCATACAGAACCTGAAATCTCTTCTACGCCACATTGTGCGGTCATTAAAGTCATGGAAGAGCGTCCGATTACTGCAGTCAGCAATTCGTCCAAAGTGCTTGAGTCTTTGAAGGAAGATCAGGATGATGATTATGATGAGCTGCCTCCAAGCATCTCAAGAGTATCACACTGGTCTCAAAGTGACCATCTTGAGAGTGATGATCAACCCAATTGTGTTCATTGTTGTGGCTGCCAGACTTTACCAAGATCTTATTTGTCCCCCAGACCTCCCAGTAAAGAATCAAGCAGTGTTGTTCACTCACTGAAGCTCAAAAAGTATAAAACCACTTTTGCAGCACCAGTAGAGCAAGACGGGATGAGTACAACATCTCCAGTTTCAAAAGTGTCCTCCAGATCCCATCCAAGTCACTGTGGAGCCATAACCCCAAGTTCAGTTTCATCTGCTGGGCAGCACAGGCCTGAGGGGAGGGCTTGTAGTACAATTTCTAGACATAGCCAAGCATCTTGTAAATCTAGAGACAAAACAAACAACCCTGAATCCAATGCATCAGATGCTCTGGAGGTATGTGATAGTGACGCTGAAAACAGATCTTTTAGTGCCATGTCAGGTGTGTCAAGAAGATCTGGCAAGTCAGCTGTATGTTCATGCTGTTGTGTGAATAAAACACTGACTGAGAATCCAGAGGGGAGTGAACCAGAGAAAGGTGATTCCATATTGTTGAAGTCAAACAAATCTGCTGCATCCATTTTAAATCCTTATGAAAAATGTGAACCTGTTAATAATACATTGGAAGTGGAAGCCACACGGGAACACTCTGAGTCTGCACTGTCTAAAAATTCAAATGCCTCTTCTACTTCAAAAACCTCCAAAAGGTCCAACCGCTCTGCTCATGAAATGTGTTCTGTTGGGAAATCATTGAAAAATGAACATAATGAAACAGAAAGTGTTGAAGAAAGAACCAAAAGTGCCACGTCAGCCAGGTCAGACTTTATTATTTCAGAGAGAGAGCCCACACCAGCCTTGGTCCTGACAGAAACCGATGAAGCTGGAGAAAAAAGCCAAGAAAGAGCTGTCAGTCCAATGTCTGCCCATTCAAATTTATCAGCTGCATCGAAAACATCCCACAAATCAAAATCTGCACATTCAGAGAAAGCTAAAACACCTAGATCTTGTAGTCCAAACGATTTAGAAGAAGTGCCATCAACGTTGCTTAATTCTCAGGGTGATAAATCAGAAAGTGCTGCTACTCAAAATCATACTACGTCAGATAATCATTGTGAACAAGACACAGAGTTTCTTCCAGAAGTGAGATCAACTAGTGCCATGTCTAACAAATCAGACCGATCTTCTGAACATCCATCACATACATCAGAGCAAACAACTAGGTCTGTCAAATCTTGTTGCGACTTACAAGACAAAGCCTCTCCGAAGTCCATCAGTTTTGATGTTCAGTGTGAGCCGGAAACTGAAGTAACCACAGAGGAAAGACTAAGCAGTTCACTGTCCAAATGCTCAAAAACGTCTGTAAAGTCAAATGCATCCTCAAAGCATTCACACACAGAGTCTAAATCTAAGGAAAGAGTTAACAGTGCAATGTCTTGTAGGTCCTGCAAATCAAACCACAACTTTTCCGAAAACACAGTTACCTCAGTACCACATTATGTAACACCTGATGAATGTGCAGATCCAAAAAGTGAGTCAGAGAGAGCAGCCAGCACAATGTCTCAGACCTCAGAAAAGTCTAATGCCTGCTCTGAAAGATCCGTCAAGTCTGGTGCAAAGAGCCCTGCCTTCCAGGAAGTGGATAATGGCAAAAGCATGACACAAAATGCCTTAACTGTGACCACTCCATTGCCTAGGACAAAGAGGTCTCCATCTCCTAGATCAAACCATGACACTAAAATTAAGACTAATAGCCGAGCAACAAGTAGGATGTCAGTAAGCTCTAATGTATCCTCGCAATCCCAAAGATCCAGTAAATGTAATTGTCACAGCTCCTCAAGTGGTAATTTGAGAGAGACAAATCCTGAGAAACAAAAAGAGGATGCCAAAGATGAATCTGAAGAGAGCTTGTCAGGAAAATCAAAACTGTCAGCTAAATCTCTTATCAATAACATTAAGTCTTCAGGCAACCAGTTTGATGAGCCTCTAAGCCCAACATCAACAGCGTCTGTTTCTATCGGACTAGGAGAAGAGCACAAGGGTGATGACTTTGATGAACGATCAATCAGTGGCATGTCTGCCACCACAGAGGACGGTGGACATAAGATAGAGAATGTAAATGGAGTGGATGCTGAGGAAAGGCCAAATACAGAAGTGTCTGTGAATTCTGCAATTTCAGACAGACCCAAAAAGTCCCATCACATGAACTACAAGACTCCTGTTCAAGCCCTCTCGCCTGTCTCAGCTGAAAGTATTATGTCTGCAGAACTGAAGAAAAGCAAATCTGGAAGCCAGTTAAATGAAAACAACATCAGAGTGCCCTCCACTTTGTCATTGTCATCTTTACAAAGTAAAACACCCTCCAGAGTTTCACAGGGAAGTTCTAAAAATACAGTTATGAAAGGAAGAGATTGTGAAGCTCTCAACAACACCAACCATGCAGAAATGACTAAAACATCCTCAAAACATGACCAAAGTGAAACAGCATCTGGAAAAGCTACACCAGCAAGTGACTGTTTACATTCTTCAATAGCCTCTGAACGTTCAATGAAGTCCAAAAATGGCCAAAGTACTAGAGAGAATGATAAAAGATCTAAAGGTTCTTCCCAATGTTTGGAAATAAATGGACTGAATATAAAATATAACTGTGATAATGATAGGGGCATGGTTAAGTGTCTTAAATCCTCCTCATCAGAAAGAAGATCTGTGAAAAATGATACATCCAGGGCAAATTCTGCAGTAATGTCTGATATTTCCCAAAATTGTAGAAGTCTACCACAAGAGATGCCAAACAAGAAAAAAACATCAGTCAAGCATCCTGATTCCTCAAGCAACAGTGTTTTATCTCAGGCACTTTCAGCAGCAGATTTGTTGAGAGAAATTATTGGTAATGCAAGACCAGTGAGTAGAGGATCAAAGTCAGTTGCCTCCAGCAAAAATGTTGACAAGGTAGAAAATAAAAGCCAAAAAAGCAGCAGGAGCAAGCACGAGGAAGTCAGCGTCTCATTGGAGTGCAACAACAAGGAACTGATGCCGTCATTCTTACCGAACGCTTCCCCTACAGAAGTTGTGAATGACTGGCTTAGGAAGATTCCCATTGAAGGACATGTTTATGAAATGGATGTCGAACTCACTGAATATATGAACCTGGCTCAAGGTGATGAGGACACTTCTCAAACGGAAAAAAAAAATGCACCAGAAAGCATAATTGAAGTTGAGGAACCTCAGGAGGATCAAGCAGGTGAGAATTATATTCAGCAGGAGACCAACGACAGTTGCTGTGAAAAGGCACAATTGGAAACTTATGAAATGTTTCCCGACCCTGAAGCATTAACCAAACAAGACTGTTTACAAAAGCAGTGCCATTCTTCGGTTCAGGTCATGAAGGTTTTACTAGGTCCAAAACTAGACAGATCCAGTAGTTTACCTGAAGTCTCCCCTGCTTATGGCAGAAAATTAAGCCAGTCTGCTCAAGGGCTGTTGGACTGCCTTGCAAATTTACGATTGATTGACTCAGACTCTAAAAACGAAAAGCAACGTAAATATAATGAAATCATGATGATCCTACAGTCGCTCTGGCTCCAAAAGCCCTCTGAGGATGAACAGAAAAAGCAGAACAAAAAGGAGCATCACTTCGCCGAGGATGAATTTAACCCACGGTCTTCATCTGGGGTTGATGTTAGCAGCGGCTCCACCGGCTCTGTTAAAGGTAGCATGAATGGCATAGTAGGAAAAATAGAGACCACTCATGGCACAATACCACCAATTGCCGAACAAGAGGCATCAGTGGAAAATAAAGGTGAAGAAGAAAATGAGGAAAAGTCTACAGCTCCTGCATGTGAATGTTTAGATCCATCCAAAGTTCTCTCGGATCCAGTAACTCCAGACATTGCAGAGCGAGTACAGGGGAGTCCAGTAAATACACAACTGGATGATGACAAAGAAAATGGCATATTACACGAAGAAGATGTTGAAAGCAGTGATAATAAGAAAGAATCAGATCAAACACCACAAACAAGCTCTGGGAATGAGAGTAACACAATGAAATCTCAAGAAAATACAAGCTCAGGAAGTCAACCGTCTGTTCAGAGAGCTCCGCTTATTAAAAGAGTTTCACAGGACCCAGATCCTGTTTGGGTACTGAACTTATTAAAAAAGCTAGAAAAGCAGTTCATGTTACATTATGCAGATGCCATGGCAGAGTTCAAAGTGAGGTGGGATTTGGATGACAACGAGATGCTCGATACAATGATCAGCGAACTGAAAGAGGAAGTACACAAACGGATTCAATCGAGTATTCACAGAGAATTGCAAAAAATCCAAAGTCGGGCAGGTAGGTGTCCGAGACCTCCGGGAAATACTCTATCGAGAGAGTCTACGGTCCAGACTGAGCAGCGACGCAAGCGTCTTCGGGTCATGCGCAATAAGTCCATCACCATGTCAAGGGATGAGGAAAATTACACTGCATCTGGTACTGAATACAGTGATCAACGCAGTGACGATGAATACTGTCCATGCGATGCATGCATGAAAAAGAAAATGGCGTCAAGGGCAGTCCAGCAAGCTCAGGCTTTGAGTTTGGCTCCAGTTATGATGGAATTTGATCTACGGAAAATTTTACAAATGAAAAAGGATCCAGTCAAACCTTTTGAATTGAAGCTGGAAGAACAACGCACGACCAACTTGACTGAAGAAAACAACTTAGAAGTGGTTCATGAAGAGGTAGAAGATACGAATGATGATACCAGAGGCCATGATGTTGAGACGGCAGATCAAGAAGAGCCAGATGGCGCTCTCAATGCAGTAGATGGTGAAAACATAAACAACATAAAATATGTATCTTTAGACTCTGAGAAAAGAGATCAAATTGAAGAGGAAACAAATGACAAAAGAGAGTCTGGTGATGTGGAAGGTGGTGAAGATGAGGAGGAGAAAGAAGGTGAGCATGCGAAAGAAGTGGTAAATGGTGACACTGAGGGGAAAGAGGAAGTAGAGTTTGTTGAGGAAGAGACTGAAAAAGGAGATACAGAAGAGGATGGTGATGAGAAAAACAGTCTTAAAGGAGATGCAGCAAATTCAGAAAACAGTGATGTGGATGCGGAGGGGGAAAAAGAGAATGAGATGACAGAAACTGGTGAGGAAACGGAATCAGGTGACAACGGAGCAGAAACTGAGACTGGGGAAGAGAGTACAGAAGACAAGTCTGCAGAAGATGGTAGTGAATCAAATAAAGATAATACTACTGAAGGTGAAAAGTCAGATGAGACACCAAATGAAGAGTCTGCCAGTGAGAAGAATGCTGATGGAAGCCAAGATGGAACTGCAAAGGACGATGCCGAGGAAGATGGGACATCAAACACAGGACAGGACGAGGACCAGCCTGAGGAAAAAGCCAATGTGCCAAAGGTAAAGATCGAGGTTGAGGTCGAAGGAGACGCAGAAAATGAAATGGACAAATGTAGCTCTGTTGAGGAAGATTTGAAAAATGATGATCAATCTGATGAAACTGTTGCTGTTATCTGTGAGAGCACACTAGCAAAACAGGTAACGAGAACGTCAATGGAATCTCAACCAGGATCCGTGGAGAACTGCACAAATCAGACAGCGCAAGCTAAACTGAAAGATCTTCAGAGTTTCATGGAGAGTGTTGACAGTCAAGGAGACAACATGGTTGTGATTACTAAACAACCACCATACAAAGAGTCACATGGACCAGGAAACCTAAAGGACATATGCAATGGCTTGACTGAATGGCAAGTGTCCCCTAAAATAAGCAACAGGGCCAATAAACAAAAAAATACGAAGGATTGACAATGATGTTATGGTGAACAATAAAGAATTTTAATATTTCATTTGATAAATCCTCAAATAAAGCACTTTATTTTTGATTGCTAATGTTCCTTTAGATGGGACTTTAATATTTAAGATGATTAATCTGTCTTCAAAGACATCTAAACATCTAAAGAGAAACTTTGAAGAGATTTCAATTCTATTTATTGTACAATACCGTATATTTCCATGTAGTCAAGGTATTTTATTGACTTCTATTTAACCTATGGAATCATATACACAGGCAGTGAAATACTTTATAAACATAGTCTTACAGTCACAGAACATTATACTGATACATTTTGAATTCTCAGGGTGCTTAATGTTAAAAGTATTATTATTTACATGCATTGTTCAAACAAACCTCAACCAGTGTTAGCATTGCATTACATTTATTCCATATGCTAAATGGCACAATTATATTTCAAAATATATAATTGCAGATGTAAGAATGGGCTATTACCCAAATTAGTATGAGAGACGTTCAGTTTAGCAGCAACCATGACTGTATATTTCGAAATGATTTATTTATTCATGAAGTGAAAAGATTTCTTATGCTGCTCAGTGGTGCTTAATGCTGCATTTTACATCGTAAAACATCTTGACAGATGTGGTACTTAAAGCATCCTTGACCAAGGTTTGTTGTATGTTGCTATTGTATTGTATCATTTAATAAATGCTCAAGTCTGAGAATGTCATTTGTTGTTTTCATACCAGGCCAATGTCGACGGTAAACTAAACAGCAGTATAATGTTATTGGTGCACATGTTTAGGGTTAGGGGTTTATTCTAAACTCCCATCCATAAGGCCAGAAAGATGCTCAGTATGTAAATGCAGAATGCTTGAACAATTGTGTGACAAACCTTTCAATGTCACCAAACTTGCTTCAGGTATCTGGCTATAAACATGTCAACAATTAATCTAACTTTTTAACTGACTTGCTCAGCAAGATTCTCTTCATTGTTCCTCTGGCAATTTTTTTAACTGAAGGCGTGGTGGTGGCAGATTTGTGTAGCTAAAAGTGTTTGTATCTACATGTACTTGTGTACATTATGTTTCAGGCATAGTTTATCCTACCTCTTTGTGCTCCAAACACAATTAATTCCACAAAACAGACTTTTTACATTGCAGACGATTAACAATGCGAGTTTTGCACTGGTAAGCACCACTATAACATGTTTTTTAATTCTTTTTAATTTTATTTTTATTTTTATGATGTTCTTCATAGTCCAACGTGCTTCCTCATCGGTGGGTACACACACTTGAGCACAAATACTTGCTGCTGAGTTTGAGTCCAGCAGCTTGAATAGGTCTTGCGTCATTCTAATCTCATTGCATTTGCATTGGGAGTATCTTTAGCTGAGTGAGAGGATTGAGGTTGACTTACATCAGTCATTAATCTAGTACAGCTATTAGTCAATAGCCTGTAAATATAGGCTATAATTCAGCAGTGTGTATATAATATATTAGACTGTCACACTGGCCTGCACTTTACAGCAAATTTACAGGAAACCTTTAATCTCACATAGCCTATGTGTGTTTATCCACTTAATTTCCAATGTAACGCCCCCTTGTGTTGTGTTGGAAACATTAACTTTAAGTGTCAGTTTGGAATAATTAAGATGTTTTTGAAAAAGTCCTTATGCTTACCAAGGTTGAATTTATTTGATCAAAATACAGTAAAATACAGTAAAACCTTAAAGGGTTAGTTCACCCAAAAAAAAATGTATTCTGTCATTAATTACTCAACTTCATGTCGTTCCAAACCCTCAAGACTTTCATTCATCTTTGGAACACAAATGAAGATCTTTTTAATGAAATCTGAGAGCTTTCTGTCCCTCTGTTGACAGCTACGCAACCGCCACTTTCAAGCACCAAAGGTACAAAGACATCATAAAAGTAATCCATGTGGCTCCAGTAATTCAACCTCGATTTTTTTTTTGCTTTGAAAAAAGGAAACATTCACGAAAGCACCACAACGCATGCGTGTTGGAGATTGCTAAAAAAATGTGGGTTTTCTTTTTAGCAAACAAAGCACTCACATCGCTTCATAAAATCGAGGTTAAACCACTGGAGCCACATTAATTTTATGATTTCTTTACTATCTTTCTGGGGCTTGAAAGTGGCGGTTGCATAGCTGTCAACGGAGGGATATAAAGCTCTCAGATGTCATTAAAAAGATCTTCATTTGTGTTCCAACAATTTTTTGGCTGAACCTACCCTTTAATATTGTGAATATTACTATTTAAAATAACTGTTTTCTATTTTACTATTTTTTTAAATGTAATGTATTCCTGTGATGCAAAGCTGAATGAAGACATTACTCCAGTGTCACATGATCCTTCAGAAATCATTCTAATGTGGTGAACATAAATATAATAGTGTAGGCTATACTTAGAATAACAGTACTATAAATAGTACGGTAAAGCTTATATAATAGTCACAGTGTGGAATTCTTGATTAGGAATCAGTCAACAAAGTATTTAGAGCATTTAAAACATTAAAGCATTATTTAAAACATTTTAGTAATGTAAAGGTCATTTGAAATGTTCTCAGAAGGAAACCTGCCTTTAAAAAAGTGCATTTACAGTAATAGCAACAGCTCAGGCATTTAAAAAATTCACATTACATTCAAATGTTCTTGATCAGGTCACAGAAGATACATGAGTCAGCATAAAAGTTTAAAAACAGAACATTCATTTGCAAAGCCTCTGCTGTCACCAAATGTTGAAAGTTGACATGCCATTTCACAACATCAGAACATGTTCAGCAACATCGGTCAAAAAATGTCAGTCAGCAATGGAATATTGAACTTCATAATCACCTTTAGTAATACTAATAATAAAGCAATACTAGTAATAGTCATTCATAATCATGTGCATGAGAGATTTATGTTACAGTCTTGCTATAGTGTATGGATGAATCTCATGAAACCTGTCAAGATGTCACATCACCCCATTAGATAATATTGTTTTTGCATTGTGAAACCATTTCCATGACAATTAAGAACATTGTATTACACACATACATTTGTGACTAATTTTCATGAAAATAGTGTCACAGTGCAAAAAATCCTTTGCTTTTTTATATATATATATTATACAATACTATATATATATAATTTGAGTATTTACAAATCAATACAAGACTTCTTGTACTGTCTTTGTGTTGATTTAAATTTTGATTGTAATGCTTTATAATGCATTTCAGTAAAAAGAAATTGTGCGATTTCCTCGTGTTGGTTACATACTGTATACTACATGCTCAAAAGATTCTCAACTCTCTCGGACCTACAGAGTCTACTCCAGTTCAGTAACAGGCTCGTGTATGAGAGCCATCAGCTTCTCCTGCAGCTCAGTAAATGTTGGCCTCTCTTCAGGGTTTTGCCTCCAGCACAGCAGCATGATGTCGTAGAGCGCTTCGGGGCAGTCAGGCGGTCGCTGCATACGCTCTCCTCTCTGAATGGCTCGAACGCATGTCATTTTGTCTTGACCTAAGATTGTAGAAGGAAGAAATATACCAGAGTTGGGTGAGATACAATCCCATCAAAAAGGGAACTCAGAACTTTGGATATAACGTTCTGGCAAGCAGGGGCGTCACTAGGATTTTCATTTTAGGGGGGCTAAGCCCCCAATATGATTTTTAAACAAATTATAAAAAAAGGTAACACTTTAGTTTAGGATCTAAAGATCACTATTAACCATTTTCATTACGATGCACGGTTTTATTACGAAGGCACGGTTTTATAATAACTGTGGTCCCGAATGTGAGGCAGGGCAAATAGGGGGGTTCGGGGTCTCCCCGAGAAAATTTTGATTTCTCTGATCTACATATGTGCATTTTAAGATGTTCTGAAGGCCAAAAAACTTGGATAGTGGGCAGCTGACAATTTTTCTCTAATCATCAGCAGCATCACTTTTTTTCTCTTTGTTTTTCTCTTGCCCTGTCTCTTCCCCTCCTAAAGCTGAGCTTTGACTGATATAGGCTTTTCATTTTTGTCTGTCAGTGAAGAAAGTAAACAAAGGGTCAACTGATAGGTTGATTTTGCCTATGAATCATTTTCTCAGACGCGTTTATTTACTGAAAGCTACTAAAGGTAATTAAGTTTATTAAATGCATTCACAATATGTAGGCTACACATTTATTATTGATCTTATGCCTAATACAGGGCCGTAGACAGGGCTTTATAATCACAGAGGTCCTAAATTTGAGATTGGTAGGGGGTCCAAATTTTTTATTTCTGATATGTGCATTTCAAGACGTTTGAAGACCAAAAAAAAAGGATAAGAAATAGCTTTAAAACCATGTCAGTGGGCAGATTATTTGTCAATACCTCCTCTCTTCTCATCTCCATCACTCTTCCTTTTTTTCTCAGTCTCTTCCTCCCTTTCTCTTCCCCTCCTAAAGCTGAGCTTTTTTAATTTACTAAAGGCTACAATTTGTATTATATTCTCAATATGTACACATTCATTATTAATCTTGTGCCTAACATGATGAAAACGGCTTTGTTAATGTTTCTTGTAAACTAATTATTACATTACATGAGTTACATGAGTGTATAGGCCTATTTTCAGTTCAAAATGGCGAAATTAGACAAAACTATATTAGTTTGCCTGATTATTTTTTGTCATTCGTTTAACATTTATGTAAGTAAAATATGAAATGTTAAGTTTAGCTACTTACATCTTATCTCGCACTTGACCGTACACGTCGAGTCCGACTGTAAAAAATGGTCGTGTCGCACTGTTAAAATTCGCGCTCAGCAGCGTCTGTGAACATAAAGCCCGCCTACTTTGATTTGATTGGTCGTCTCTGACATTGACGAGCAGTGACAGACCAATGAGGCTCAGATGAACACACAAATGAACACACACACCCTGTCCTCTGTTTCTGACGTGCTCTCTGCACGGCGCAGCTGTGGATTGAGAACGTGCTGAATCTGATTATAACAAGACTGAAGCGAACACGAATTTGTGTAGCCTACATTAATCTCACATTTTTAGGGGGGCTCGGCAGAAGTTTAGGGGGGCTGAAGCCCTCCTAAAAAGGGCCTAGTGACGCCCCTGCTGGCAAGGTTCTCTCAAAGTTATGAACAAACGTTCGGTCAGTAACATTAATAGAATATTCCTGGTTTTTAATAGCATTTGCTGAACATTAGCACAAAAATGTTATTTATACATCACTAATGGAACTTTTTTCTGAAACGTTTTAGTTGCACGTTATTACTAGTTTCAGAACCTTCAGAGAACATTCAAAAGTTACATTCCCACGTTTGCAAAATGATAAAATGGAACGTTCCCTTAATGTTTTCTTTAATGTTCACATAACCATGCAAGAAAAAAAAGTTTTTAAAATAACCTAATGGGACCATTAGCAAAGCATTCTTAGAACATGTATTATGTTTAGTGTTTTTTTACTATAATATTTATGTATTAAGCATGTTTACCAGGGTACGGGTCATCTCCATACGTGACAATTTCGGTTAAAAGGATGCCGAAAGACCAGACGTCACTTTTGCTTGTGTACTCCTGGTTATCGAAAATCTCAGGGGCCATCCATTTTACAGGGACCCTAACATCTGCAGGTATGAGAAAGAACTGTTGTAGTTTTTGTTTGTCTTATCATCTGCTTGCATGAACGTACGTATCAAATATCTCACCTGATGACATCCTGTTTCCTGGTAGATTAATTTGTGCGAGTCCAAAATCGGCTATTTTGCAGCATTGCATGTCGGTAAGCAGAATGTTCTCAGCTCTCAGATCCCTGTGAACTATTTGGTTCTCAATGTAAGCCATTCCTTCTGTAATCTGAGAGATTCAGCAAAATAAAGACTTAGTTTACCACAGGGCCTTAATCACCATAGACATTGAGGGGAAAAGTCCGCCCCAATAATTAGATGGCTAAACTGTTTCCCCAAATTTCTTATACTTGCCAATATTTGACAAAAAGTTTTAAAAGTCACATTTTTAGTTGGTTTTACAGTACTCATCAATGTCAAAAATATAAAGAGTATTGCAGTGTTTATGCCCTCATAATCTTTAATTACAATAATTTGCACAGACTTCTCTTCTCTAATGATGAGTGTTTACTGGCCTAGGGCGGGACAACCTGTCACTCACATGAGATCCACCAATAGCAAACCACAACCATCCAATCAAAATCAAGTCCCGCCCAACAATTTTGAATCCCTCTCCTATTCAAGCCATACTGTAGGCATGGCCTTGGTTTAGCATCAACTAAAAAAAATCCCTGATGAAAAAAGAGACTAGGCTGATAGTCTTTGTGCTGCTGTTTTCTCTTGCTATATGGTTAAATCAGCCTTTATAAAGCAAGATGCACTGCTGTCGTTGTGCCAGATGTAAATAAGTGTTAATGCATGTGTACAATGACGGCTTCCTCTTTCCTCGTTCCTCACCTCCATAAGTGCATTTAGAGAATTGATATGTCCTTCATGATGATCGATTTTCGGGTCATGGGTTGAAGGATGGAGGAGCGAGGAAATGAGGAAACATCAATATGCATATTGAGGAGCAGCCAATCTTGCATGACAGCATCAAACGGAATTGCAAGAATAATGAACACGCCATCTCTCTCCCTAACATCAATATCAATGTTCCTGTGTCAGTGTCGGGCCGTCTAAACCAACAGAGCAACACGTCTATGAACTGCTTAGAGATATAAATATATTATATTGATAAATATTGGTTATGTAACCCTTTTCCAACAACTCTTATTTGTCAAAAGACACTTTTCACAATCCTAATCGATAAAATCCTGCCCTACATTTCCCCCACCTTTTAAATAAATCCAATTGTGGAAGTTTTTCTGTTAAGCTTGATTGTTTTTAAAGGGTTAGTTCACTGCAAAATGAAAATTCTGTCATTAATTTCCAAACCTCATGCCGTTCCAAACCCATATGACGTTTATTCGTTTTTTATTTATCTTCGGAACACAAATGAAGATCTATTTGAAATCTAAGCCAAAATCAAAGTAATAATCCAAGGCACTCGAGTTGTGTATACAAAAAAGTAAAAAGCCTTTATTAAATCATGGCTTCTATCATTAAAATTGGTGACAGATACACCTACGCGTTGCGGCTATCGCCTTCGTCAGGGTGTGTGTAACAAACAAAGTCACAAGTGCATTTTAAATAGCAGTTCATTAGTCTAAATAGCAAACACCTGGTCACACACTACGCAAGGTAACCAGCAGGGAGCAGAATTCAACAAATGAAATAGTATATTGCATAATATCAAGCCAAATCAAACTCAAAAAAAAAAAAAAAAAAAAAAAAAAGATATATACATATACATATATATATATATATATATATACACATACATATACACATACACATACATACACATACATACATACACAAAAAAAAAAAAAAAAAAAAAAAAAAAAACATATATATACATATACATATATACATATACATATATATATACACATACATATACACATACACATACATACATACATACACATACATACACAAAAAAAAAAAAAAAAAACTTTAATTGAAATATTTTCAGCAATATCTAGATTACATTATACAAATCAAAACATAACAATAAAATAAAGTAGAGCAAAAAAAAACATATCAAAATATACACGTCAATGGATGTATACATCTAATGGTACACAATACAACTAATTTCATGAAAAATTTCACAGAAATGGTACAAAATCTAATTCTCCATTTAAACCTGGAAATGTGGTGGCTTTCAGTGAGTAAATCCAGAAAGATTCTCTTTGTAGTAACTTCTTAACCCTATCCCCTCCTCTTATGGACTTGGGGATGTGTTCAATACCGATTATCTTGAGTGTATTAGGACTACCATGGTTTGTATCTCTGTAATGAATGGCCATAGGATATAGAGGGTTACAGATTCGAATGGCGTTTTTATGCTCTGATAATCGTATCTTTAGTTTTCTAGTCGTCATCCCTATATAGAAACATCCACATGGACACTCTAACCTGTAGATCACAAATGAGGTATTACAATTAATGAAAGATCTTATTTTCAGTTCGGAGTCAGAGGTTACGTCTCTAAATGTTTTTGTCCTGATCATATTATCGCAGTGATTACAGTTGCCACACCTGTAATTTCCTGCACTTGAACTTAACCAGGTATTGGCTTTCTTAGGAGAAAGATGACTTCTCACTATTTTGTCTTTAATTGTTGGTGCTTTCCGAAATGCAATGGAAGGAGATTCGGGCATGACTTCCCTGAGATAAGGGTCACTCATAACTATTTCCCAATTCTTCTTTATAATTTTCTTAATTCTGTTTGCCTCTGTGCTATACTGTGTCACGAAATATACAGAGTTATCTGGATCCTGTGATTTACGTTTTTGTTGTAATAGTTCGTCTCTACTGATGTTTCTCACTTTATTGTATGCTTTGTTAATCACGCTATTTTTGTAACCCCGTTCCTTAAATCTTTGAGTCATGTCTTGTGCTCTGATGTTAAAATCTTCTTCCTTATCACATATTCGTTTCAGCCTCTGGAACTGGCCAACAGGAATATTCTCGGTCATCCATAAAGGATGAAAGCTATCTGCTCTCAATATAGTGTTTCTGTCAGTTTCTTTTCTAAATATAGTAGTATGCAGCGCACCACTACTTTCTTTGAAGATTTTTAAGTGGGGATGAAGGGGATGAAGGGGATGAAGTGATAAATGTTTCAAAGGTTACTCTATCAACAAGCTGTGTTTCTGTATTGTCAAAAGGTTTGTCCTATGCCCCTATAAATACAGCCAAAGATTTTCAAACTAAAGTGGACCTATTCAAGTTTCATCGGAGTCTTCAACTGAACGCTTTGTACTACACTTCTGAAGCAGCTACTCGTACCTATGACAAGAAGGCAACAACATTCAAACCCAAGTCAACATTCATGCCAGGTTCATCTAATCCAACTTTGAACTCCTTCTACAAGAAAGTAATGTATGACATTGACAAGATCTTCACTTCAAAAAAACGAAAACAATATAATCTTTCAAAAGAAGAAGGAGAAGCTTTGAACTGGATTTCTAATAATGAAGAGCTAGTAATAAAAAGAGCGGACAAGGGAGGTGCTGTTGTTGTATGGGGCAGAGATCAGTATATTGAAGAAGCCTTGAGACAACTTCAAAACCGTGAGTACTACCAGTGCCTGAGATCCAATCCAATAGAAGTAATGACAAATGAACTGACTGATATTTTATCACATGCTAAAGATGAGGGATGGATTTCAAAAAATGAATGTGATTTTCTTTCCTGTAAAAATCCTAGGATTCCTACATTTTATATGCTCCCTAAAATACATAAAAATCTTGAAAATCCGCCAGGGAGACCTATAATTAGTGGAAATGAATCTATTACAGAGCCAGCTTCAAAATTTGTAGACAGTTTTATCAAACCATTGGTTGGAAAACTTCCTTCATTTATTCAGGATACTACCCATGTATTAAATACCATTAAAAAGACTAAAACTACTGAATCATCTATTTTGGTGACCATGGATGTTGAATCACTGTATACAAACATAGACCATAAAGATGGACTGGAAGCACTATTATACTATCTGGATATGAGATCATCTACCGAAAGGACACCTGCATGTTTTATTATACAACTAGCGGAATGGACATTGAAAAACAACATATTTTTGTTTCAAGATAAATTCTATAAACAAATTAAAGGTACAGCTATGGGTGCATGTTTTGCCCCTAATTATGCAAATTTGTTTTTGGGATTTTGGGAAAAGAATTTTGTATTTTCTGACTTAAACCCATATTTAAAATATGTGGAGTGGTGGGGCAGATATATAGATGACATTATATTGATATGGACAGGATCGGAGGTGGATTTAATAGCTTTTCACGCTTATCTTAATAATACCAATGTAAATCTGAAGCTGAGTCTTGACTATTCACATACTCAGATTAATTTCTTGGACTTAAAAATCTTCAAAGAAAGTAGTGGTGCGCTGCATACTACTATATTTAGAAAAGAAACTGACAGAAACACTATATTGAGAGCAGATAGCTTTCATCCTTTATGGATGACCGAGAATATTCCTGTTGGCCAGTTCCAGAGGCTGAAACGAATATGTGATAAGGAAGAAGATTTTAACATCAGAGCACAAGACATGACTCAAAGATTTAAGGAACGGGGTTACAAAAATAGCGTGATTAACAAAGCATACAATAAAGTGAGAAACATCAGTAGAGACGAACTATTACAACAAAAACGTAAATCACAGGATCCAGATAACTCTGTATATTTCGTGACACAGTATAGCACAGAGGCAAACAGAATTAAGAAAATTATAAAGAAGAATTGGGAAATAGTTATGAGTGACCCTTATCTCAGGGAAGTCATGCCCGAATCTCCTTCCATTGCATTTCGGAAAGCACCAACAATTAAAGACAAAATAGTGAGAAGTCATCTTTCTCCTAAGAAAGCCAATACCTGGTTAAGTTCAAGTGCAGGAAATTACAGGTGTGGCAACTGTAATCACTGCGATAATATGATCAGGACAAAAACATTTAGAGACGTAACCTCTGACTCCGAACTGAAAATAAGATCTTTCATTAATTGTAATACCTCATTTGTGATCTACAGGTTAGAGTGTCCATGTGGATGTTTCTATATAGGGATGACGACTAGAAAACTAAAGATACGATTATCAGAGCATAAAAACGCCATTCGAATCTGTAACCCTCTATATCCTATGGCCATTCATTACAGAGATACAAACCATGGTAGTCCTAATACACTCAAGATAATCGGTATTGAACACATCCCCAAGTCCATAAGAGGAGGGGATAGGGTTAAGAAGTTACTACAAAGAGAATCTTTCTGGATTTACTCACTGAAAGCCACCACATTTCCAGGTTTAAATGGAGAATTAGATTTTGTACCATTTCTGTGAAATTTTTCATGAAATTAGTTGTATTGTGTACCATTAGATGTATACATCCATTGACGTGTATATTTTGATATGTTTTTTTTTGCTCTACTTTATTTTATTGTTATGTTTTGATTTGTATAATGTAATCTAGATATTGCTGAAAATATTTCAATTAAAGTTTTTTTTTTTTTTTTTTTGTGTATGTATGTGTATGTATGTATGTATGTGTATGTGTATATGTATGTGTATATATATATGTATATGTATATATGTATATGTATATATATGTCTTTTTTTTTTTTTTTTTTTTTTTTTTTTTTTTTTTTTGTGTATGTATGTATGTGTATGTATGTGTATATATGTATGTATGTGTATGTGTATATGTATGTGTATATATATATATATATATGTATATGTATATATCTTTTTTTTTTTTTTTTTTTTTTTTTTTTTGAGTTTGATTTGGCTTGATATTATGCAATATACTATTTCATTTGTTGAATTCTGCTCCCTGCTGGTTACCTTGCGTAGTGTGTGACCAGGTGTTTGCTATTTAGACTAATGAACTGCTATTTAAAATGCACTTGTGACTTTGTTTGTTACACACACCCTGACGAAGGCGATAGCCGCAACGCGTAGGTGTATCTGTCACCAATTTTAATGATAGAAGCCATGATTTAATAAAGGCTTTTTACTTTTTTGTATACACAACTCGAGTGCCTTGGATTATTACTTTGATTTTGAGCATTACTATCCCAAGCTACCAAAGAGCACCGATATTTTACACCCTGTGCAGCACTTCAAATGCATCTTTATGCTGTGATGAAATCTAAGCCAGTTTAGCTACACAACTACCACTTTGATGCTTCAAAAAGTACATTAGGAGATCATAAATCTAATCCATAGGAATTTCCTGAAGAGACATGATCATTTTATATGATGAACAGATTGAATTTAGGCATTTATTTACATTTAAGCATTGATCAGGGAACAAAAGTTTAACCAAACTTTCTTGACGCAGGAGAACAAACCTTTTTGAGGAAGCTCAAACGTGCTGCGTAACACGATAATGAACCTCATTGGTTCTTGCAGAAGCTCAAACGTGCTGTGTAATACGAGAATGAACCTCATAGGTTCTTGCAGAAGCTCAAACGTGCTGCGTAACACAAAAATGAACCTCATTGGTTCTTGCTGAAGCTCAAACGTGCTGCGTAACACGAGAATGAAGTGGTAGTTGCGTAGCTGTCAATGGAGGGACAGAAAGCTCTCAGGTTTACATTTGTGTTCTGAAAATCAATGAAAGACTATTGGGTTTGGAACTATGAGGCTGAGTAATTAATGACAGAATTTTAATTTTGGGGTGAACAATCCCTTTAAGAAAAACTGGTCATATGATTTTTGATATTTTATATTTGCCCTGGTCTAAAAATTCCCCAGATCTCAATTACTCTCAAAGAAATCAAGTTACCTGGACAGCAAAATCCATCATGAGCGAAAACTCAAGATCTTGTTTCTCTTTGTGGCCTGGGGAAAGATATAAGCTCATGTGAATATCTAAATTGTATCGTTTTTTTTCTGTAAAAGCAATGTGTCAATTAAGATTAAGGTAAAGGTATCTGTGGTGTTTATTATCTGCATACGAGTTAATATTAGTTCACTTACTGATGAGAAATGTCTTTAAAGAGCCATTTTTCATGAGCTCTGTCACTAAACAGACAGGTTTACTAGTGGTACACACAGCATAGAGCCTCAGCAAACGCTCATGATGCAGCTCCTTCATGATGTCAATCTCTGTTTTGATATATGGATAATTGACAACTGCAAGTAAAATGGTACAGACAAAAAGTTGCATCATAAAACAAACCATGAAAAATTATTTATGAGCCAAAACATTATGACCAGTCACAGATGAAGCGAACATCATTAATCATCTCCTAACAAGGCCACATGTTAATGTTTGGGTAGGGTAAATGGTAAGCAAACAATCAGTTCTCGTAATCAATGTGTTGATGCAGGAGAAATGGGCAGGAATAAAGACCTGAGCGACTTTGACAAGGGCCAAATTGTTATTGTAAGGTGAATGGGTCAGAGTATCTCTGAAACGGCAAGGCTTGTGTGTTGCTCCTGGTCAGCAGCGGTGAGAATTTACTAACAGTTATCCAAGGAGGGACAAACCAGAAACCAGTTACAGGTGTGTTGGGCGCAGAAGGCTAGAAGGCTATATCCGTCCGGTCCGATCCAGCAGAATGTCTACTGTGGCACAAGTCGCACAGAATTTAAATGATGGTTACGGGAGGAATGCCACAACACAGTGCATCATTCTTCTGTGTAGACGCAGACCAATCAGAGTGCCTATGATGACCTCTGTCCACGGTCGAAAGAGCCTACAATGGGCACGCGAGCGTTGGAACTGGAACTTGGTGAGGTGGAAGAAGGTCGCCTGGTCCGATGAGTCCCATATTCTTTTAAATGTAATCAAGTGGACAGCAGTGTACGTGTGCGCCGTTTACCTGGAGAAGTGACGACAACAAGCCGGTGGAGGGAGTGTGATGCTCTGGGCAATGTTCTTCTGTGAAACCCTGGGTCCTGCCATTTCACTTTGACAGGTGGGACCGATCTTAAACATTGTTGCAGACCAGGTACACCCCTTCATGACAATAGTGGCCTCTTTCAGCAGGATAATACACCTGCCACACTGCACACATTATTCAGGAATGGTTTGATGAAGAACTCAAGGTGTTTCCCTGGTCTAAAAATTCCCCAGATCTCAATCCAGTCGAGCATATTTATTTATTTATTTATGAACATTTATTAGAGGATCAGCCCCATGAGATGAAACATCTCGTTTGCATGGGGGTCGTGGGATGTGTGGGATGTGCTGGACCAACAAGTTCAATCCACAGCGGCGCCACCTCATAACCTACAGGACTTGAAGGATCTGCTGTTTACAGCTTGATGCCAGATACTACAGGACACATTCAGAGGTCTTGTATAGTCCATGTCTAGGTCGGCACTGATTTGGCCGCATGCGGAGGACCAACAGCATATTAGGCAGGTGGTCACACCTGTAGGAGTTTCTTTCTTCTGTTGAACACAAAAGAAGTTCTATCATGACAACTCTCTGAAGATTTTTAGCATGGTGATGGATATGACTATGTTAATGTATTTGGTCTTAGCTGCTGAATTGCTGCTGTTGTTATAGATTATTGCTGCTGCTGCTGCAGAACAAGTACAGGAATTTGCGACTGCCAATACATATCCGATACGCTGCTGCACAAATGGCATAAATTAATTACCCCTAGTAGATCTTTACACGTGGAGCTGGGGAAGTTGGAGGGTTTTAGACGAACTCTGAAAGCACGCTGCAAACTGCTATCGTGAATGATAACCAGCCATTTAAATGTTGAGCAACAAGCTCATTGGCTGCAGATGCGACATGAACCAATCATCTTGTGCCAAGTAGTTGACGCTGTAAATATCATCAGCTTGTACTAAGGACCCATCAGCCGGCGCCATATAGAGTTTCATGACAGAACAAGGCATTTAGTATACCTACTATGGAAGTCAATGGGTGCCATCAACTGTCACCAACATTCTTTGAAATATCTTCTTTTGTGTTCAACAGAAGAAAGAAACTCAAACAGGTTTGAAACAACTTGAGGATAAGTAATTACATAATTAAATTTTTTGGATGAACCTTTAAGCAGATTATTTATTTACCCTTTACAGATAAATGTAAAGGGGGAAAAAAAATGGAATTTCATGTTTATGTCTAACCAAGTTGTGCATTTTTTTTATTTATGTTTTTATGATACACACTGTTGGGTAGCCACTCAATATTCAACGTAAAATATGGGACCTGAAGTAAAAACCGCCGAGAGCCACTGAATTAACCGATTTATTGATTACCTTTGAACTCTTTGATGGCCACATCTGTTGTCTCGTTCCAGAGCCCCTGCCACACATCGGCAAACTGCCCACTGCCGAGCTTCTTTATTCTGTTTAGTGAACTTCTCTCTACCTCCCATTTGGAGTCAAATGACAGAGTAAGAGGAGCTGGCTGGTCCAGCTAGAAGAGTAATGAACAGATTGGAAGTGAGCTGAAAAACTTATTAGGATGCTGCCCTGCTTTCAATAATCTGTAGGTTCAAACTCTTTACTGACCTTCACACAGGGTTCATGAAGCTTTGCGCAGAGTCCGCCTTCATTTTTAGAGTAAAACTCCACCAACTCACGCAAGGTCTGGAAAGTTGTATGATGAACAAGGAAAAACTGCTTTTCGTTTTCCCTCTGCTTGATCCGGTAATGTCGTACATGAGGTCCATTCCTCACTTTAAAATAAATCATTACAGAAAATGTTATTCAGCTGCTCTGAAAGTTAAGGTTAATTTTTAATTGATCTCTTTTCAATGTAGTTAGAGTGCAAAAATTACAGTAAAATGAAAGGCAGTAGAGGCTTGAGACATGATGTGTGTGTGAATCACATGTACTGTACCTGATAAGTAGTAATTGTTATTCTCATAACTCTTCCAGATGAGAAATGCACCCTCATAATTCTGGGGTCTCAGCAGACATCTCCTGGCCTCTATACGCATTTTAACATTCTCAAAATACCACCTGAAAATCGATTGATACTAGTTTTTTATGACGTTCATTTTTATTTGTGTCCAATGTATGTGGTGTAACAACATTGTACTACCACAGATTAACTGAACAATAAACAATATAATGGATGAATCTCGAAGAAAAAAAAACTCTTTCACATACTGATATACATGTACAATTTTATATATGCAATTTCAATATATATATAGGCATATACAATTATACTTGTCTCATGACAGTTTTCATGAGATTGATCCTGATAGCATATATCTTAGCGTTCTATCAGTAATTTTCAAAACCCATCTCTGTGATCATTCTCATGAGTCATTTCTACAGAGAAACACAAACTGAGCAATAACAGCACTAGCTGTTTCACCAAAACTTGTGAAACTGGAAAGATGGGATTCCAGTTTCATTAAGGGCAGTGATTCAAACCGCAAAGCTTGAGATTACTCTGTTTATTATTCATTCACACAAGCACAAAATGGTCAAAAGAACAACTCAAGGACTTACAACTCGGCCTCTACGCTACCCAGCGGCTTGACGAAGTCTTTAGGCACATATCCACGTTGAGGCACTTTAGATCCGTCAGCCTTAGCTGTTTGTCTCCTCACGTACAACCAGTAATCAGACTCTGATATCACTTCCAGAACATCTCCTTTCTTCAGATTTAGATCATATATTGTGCGTGAGGGATAGTCGTGGATTGACTTGAAGACCCTGTCACGGTTGATGGACGGCTGTTCTTTCTTGGTTTGGCAACACCGGCAGCAGCGTTTACAGGAAGAATTCCCCATGTCCACCAGTCATATCTTCTCATGCCGTGTGCATAAGAGCAGAATGATGGTACAATGGCATGACTAGCTCACTAGAATACCAACTCACTGTAGCCAGGCAAGTTCCTATTGGTTACAGTTAGGTCAAGGAAGTATTTGGTGAAAAAATGATCAGAATTTCCCTGATGTCATGCAGTTGGGATTACTTAAGCAAAAACAAAAGGCTGTAGCACGCATGCATAGCTTTTCATTTGTATGACAAAGTGTTGTTGTAGATACTTTGTAGTTACACGGTAATACTTTACTATGAGGTGCATTAGCATTAGTATTAGTTGGCATGAATTAATTATGAACAGCACTTATACAGCATTTATTAATCTTTGTTAATGTTAATTTCAACATTTACTAATACTTTATTCAAATCTTGTTAACATTAGTTAATGCACTGTATTGACTAACATGAACAAACAATGAAAAGCTGTATTTTTATAAACTAACATTAACAAAGATGAACAAATACAGTAACATATGTATTGCTCATGGTTAGTTCATGTTAGTTAATACATTAACTAATGTTAATAAACGAGACCTTATTGTAAAGTGTTACAAGTTACACAAAAAGCCAAGCAACTTAAAACACTGTATCTTAAAAAATGGCCCTTCATTGTGAGAATGCATCATTTCGAATCATAGGATAAAGTAAACAATTTTGTAGGTAAACCTCACAGAAAAGAATCTGGATCAAGTTTTCTGCAAAGTATATATGAAACCATACATAATTGTAACATTTCTGCATCATTTTATCGTGTGTTCAGTCCACAGTGCTCTTGTTTTTGAGGAGTTGAGGCAGGCGCTCACTGCATCTCGAATTACAGGATGACAGTCCAAATGACGCTGTGCCTCAGCATGAGTGCAGCCACTCTGGATCATCACCAGTGCAGTCGGGACCACCTGCCAGTGCAGGACATACCAGGTATAACAGTTAAATCTGCCTTTATAAATAACACATTGCTTTTATAATAATAATCTATATTCTCCAATCATTTAATATGCAAAGACAACTAAGCCATTCGGAGCAAAAGTGTAAACAATGTGGTTCCATCAAACCTCTGCTCTACTCAACCAGTGGTGTACGTTTGGGGCGGGGCTATTTGTTTGGCTGGCAATAGTATGTGGGAAAGCTGTTTGAAAACAATTTTTCAAATGTTTTGCAACTCTGCATTAATCACTCGATGTCACCATGTTGATGTCTTGTTGGTTGTTTGTACCCAGACAACAGTAAAGGTGATTATCCTGGCAGCAACAGAGTGTCGGCTCAGATCCGGCCCACATCTGGTACACATGGATTCCACACGGCCCGGATGTGGGCCGGATCTGGGCCGACACTATGTTGCTGCCTGGATAATCACCTTTACTGTATACTGTATGCAGTTTCTTCAAGGCCACTGAAATGACTGAAAAAAATCATAATTTGAGTGTCGAACACCAGTGACCCATTCCAAATTTACCCTATTACTTTGTCAGCACACATTACTAGTCTAGTGGTAAACAATTAACCCCTGGAGTGAAAGTTCATACATAGAAAAAAATAGTTTGTCGTGATAAATCAAAATCTGAAAAATGTATGCAAATGTTTCAGATTTTGATTAATCACTACAAACAACTTCTCTGCTCTGAAATGGTTTTCCTTCTCTGATGACGTCAGTTTGACAGCTTGGGTTGAGTATCCTTAAAAGGATAGTTCACCCAAAAATGAAAATTAACCCATGATTTACTCACCCTCAAGTCATCCTAGGTGTATATGACATTCTTCTTTCAGACAAATACAATCAGAGTTATATTAAAAAATGTCCTGGCTCTTCCCAGCTTTATAATGGCTTTTCTTACACAAACGCATCGCTTCGCTTCAGAAGGCCTTTATCAACCCGCCGGAGCCATTTGGAGCACTTTTATGATGGATAGATGCACTTTCATGATGGATAGATGCACTTTTATGGACTTCAAAACAGAAACAGCAATTCACTGCCATTATAAAGCTTGGAAGAGCCAGGACATTTTTTAATATAACTCCGATTGTATTTGTCTGAAAGAAGAATGTCGAATGGATGACTTGAGGGTGAGTAAATCATGGGCTAATTTTCATTTTTGGGTGAACTATCCCTTTAACCACTCCCCTCCAACCGCCAGTCTGCTATGAGCGAGGGATGGAGGTGCGCTAAAGTAAAACCCCGCCCTCTATTCAATATTCCGTTTCACTTAGAAATACGTCAACACTGAAGTAAAGTCGGTTGCAACTTCCGTTTCACTTGGACTTTAACGTTAACAAATGTTAACTAATAGGACTTTATTGTAAAATGTTACCTACTATTCTTTGTTTGTGTAAAAAAAATTTTTTTTAAAGTAAGCGTTAGGCTATGTAACCTGACTGTTTTTTTTTATCTTTAAAACTTCTGTCTGCCTCCACAGATGTCCAAGATAAATAAACCAGTTCTTACTCGCTCCCGTTTGTTAGCTGCATCAGTGTGTGTGTGGACATCTGCTGCTGTCATGTCTTCAGTCAGATCATCTGTGCTGTAGACGGCTCTCAGTAGAGCACTTTCACACTCGGTTTTGGAGCAGCCTGTGAACCGCTGACAGTGATGGTGTATAATTAAATGACCATGCAGAAAGCACACAAAGGGCTCATATTACAGTTCCAGCTCAATAACTTTTCAAAACTGAAAGACAGACAAATGATCTGAAGAAAATATGATTGGCCCATGCATAACTCTTACCATGTCAGGGTTTTGGTGTGTGGTTACCAAGGTATTTTCCAGGTAATAGTTTTAGCATGTTGCATTGTGGTTGCTAGGTCATGACATTCAATATATAGTTTCTTTAAGAGAGCAGTACAGAAAATGCATTACTGATACCTGTAAAATGTTGATGGCTCTCCTGTACAACTTGCTGTTAGTTACTCTGAGATCTATCATGTAATTCATATAGACTTTTCCCTTCAGTACATGAGCTCCTGTGCTGATTGCATTAAGACACAATTTGGTTGAAAGCTCCCAGTGCTGTCTCTGTAAATTAAAGAAGGATTGAAATCTTTACTTATACAGGTTTTACAATATAAGTATGTTAACTAAATATTACTTACCATTACTGAGTTGTCCTTCGCTGAAGAAAAAGGCCATGTGATATTCAGGACCGTTTCAAACATGTGGCAAACTGTTTCCTTAAACAATAAATGTAAGAATATACTTACATGTCAAACAAGCAAATTAATTGTATTAAAAGGGCAAAAAAAAAAAAAAAAGCCACTGTTGAGCAGCAAACAGGTATTTGAAGCTGCTGGAGTCTCAAGAACCTCTCCCTGCAGGCTGGCAGTTGTACATACAGTTGCATTTCAGCCACCCCTAACCAAAGCTCACAAAGAGAAACGTTTACAGTGGGTGTAGAAATACGTGAAGACTCATTTTTAATTAGTGTATTTACTGACTAAGGCTGTGCTGCAATGGATGGTCAGGATGGATGGATTTCTGGACGGTGGGTGAAAAACTGACCAGTTCTTCTGTGCTCTATGTCACTCACAAATCTTTTGAGTTTTGACACTTCGATAATTTATATTCAGTTTTCGCAAATTATTAGTTGTTTTCATCCTTTTGCAAGACATTGCACCATTTCATGCTTTTCATCTTCAGAAAGATCTTTCTTCCTCCCGATGTTGCATGAGGACTGTAATTTGCTCAATAATATTGAACAACCTCTTTAATAGGTTTTCCACTTATCTGAGAAGACCTGGCAAACTACTTAAGTAGTTGGTACTTAGTAGAGAGAGTATTCTTAGTAGTAGAGAGTAACTATAACTACTCTCTGAAATTGATATCTAAAAAGATATGAGAAATAAAACAAACATTTTCTTTGAAAAACTAAAATCTGAATGCTTATTATACTGAAATCCCACTGATCCTGCTTTGTACATATATATATATATATATACTGTATATATATATAAACTTAGTAATAAAGGTTGGAATACATATATTATATATATACACAATGTAAATAAATATATAATATATACACAAAGTAGGATCAGTAGGACAATATATATATATACACTTTATTAGGTACCCCATGCTAGTAACGGGTTGGACCCCCTTTTGCCTTCAGAACTGTCTCAATTCTTCGTGGCATAGATTCAACAAGGTGCTGGAAGCATTCCTCAGGGAGTTTGGTCCATATTGACATGATGGCATCACACAGTTGCCGCAGATTTGTCGGCTGCACATCCATGATGCGAATCTCCCGTTCCACCACATCCCAAAGATGCTCTATTGGGTTGAGATCTGGTGACTGTGGAGGCCATTTTAGTACAGTGAACTCATTGTCATGTTCAAGAAACCAATTTGAAATGATTAGAGCTTTGTGACATGGTGGAAGTAGCCATCAGAGGATGGGTACATGGTGGCCATAAAGGGATGGACATGGTCAGAAACAATGCTCAGGTAGGCCGTGGCATTTAAACGATGCCCAATTGGCACTAAGGGGCCTAAAGTGTGCCAGGAAAACATCCCCCACACCATTACACCACCACCACCAGCCTGCACAGTGGTAACAAGGCATGATGGTTCCATGTTCTCATTTTGTTTACGCCAAATTCTGACTCTAACATCTGAATGTCTCAACAGAAATCGAGACTCATCAGACCAGGCAACATTTTTCCAGTCTTCAACTGTTCAATTTTGGTGAGCTCTTGCAAATTGTAGCCTCTTTTTCCTATTTGTAGTGGAGATGAGTGGTACCCGGTGGAGTCTTCTGCTGTTGTAGCCCATCCGCCTCAAGGTTGTGCGTGTTGTGGCTTCACAAATGCTTTGCTGCATACCTCGGTTGTAACGAGTGGTTATTTCAGTCACTGTTGCCCTTCTATCAGCTCGAACCAGTCTGGCCATTCTCCTCTGACCTCTGGCATCAACAAGGCATTTCCGCCCACAGAACTGCCGCTCACTGGATGTTTTTTCTTTTTCGGACCATTCTCTGTAAACCCTAGAGATGGTTGTGCGTGAAAATCCCAGTAGATTAGCAGTTTCTGAAATACTCAGACCAGCCCTTCTGGCACCAACAATCATGCCACGTTCAAAGTCACTCAAATCAACTTTCTTCCCCATACTGATGCTCGGTTTGAACTGCAGGAGATTGTCTTGACCATGTCTACATGCCTAAATGCACTGAGTTGCCGCCATGTGATTGGCTGCTTAGAAATTAAGTGTTAACGAGCAGTTGGACAGGTGTACCTAATAAAGTGGCCGGTGAGTGTATATAAGTGTCCTACTTTGTGTGTATATATATATATATATATATATATATATATATATATATATATATATAAGTGTCCTACTTTGTGTGTGTGTGTGTGTATATATATATATAGTGTTAAAAGTATTTGCACTCAAAAATAAAATGCAAACGTCCATGCAAATATTACCTGATTACATAAATAGCCCTTAAGCATTTGTAAGAAATGTAGTGGAAGGGAATTTTGGATTCCGGTGAGTTTTTGCTACAGGCAAAATTCCAGCTCACTCATTTTACTCACAGGAATGGTGAATTTCTCAAGGTCATGAGCAATTGCATGCAAATTAGATGTCATTTGCCTTATTTGATTGGCCAGCGCCGTCACCTCATGTAGGTCATCTCGAGAGAGAGAGAGAGAGAGAGAGAGAGAGAGAGAGAGAGAGAGAGAGAGAGAGAGAGAGAGAGAGAGAGAGAGAGAGCATTAAAATATATTTAAAACATATTCAAGGAACTGCTCATATTTTAATTTGACCATAATTGTCGAATGTATTTAAATCGTAATTGTTTCATGTTTGCTCACCATTCACTGTAAACAGAAATAAGATCATGTCATTTTGACTCAGGCTATGTAAGATGGTGTCCACAAAATCCTTGTGACCAATTATGAATTCTGGTCCCTAAAAATAGTTGTTATTATATTAATAGATGTTAATATTATTATAATAAATATTCATATAATATATTACCAATGGTGTCCGATTACTGCAATTGTTTCACCTTTAAAGGGTTCTGTGATATGCATGCAAAAATGCATACAGGTTTTAAACGACATGAGAATGAGTAAATTATGACAATTTTTTTATTTTTGCACAACCTATCCCTTTAAATTGTTTTATCAATTGCTTTGAGCTCACCAAACATGATAGATCTCCTTCTTTGTTTTTCATTTCGCTGAAACCGTTGTTGATGAAACCTCTGATGTCACCAAAATCTGAAAAATTAAATGTGGTTCTGGGTTAAAACATTTTCCAATAAAAGTATGCTTGCGCTGTTATTAATTTACCCATGTGTCAAATTAACAAATTGAAATAGCGTATCATATAATAAAATGCCACTGTAAACAGCACCTGCTCCATATGTTGGGATACATTCACTGGCATCAGTCATTCCTATAATGCCAAGAGTTTTCCATCCAAGATAGTACACATGTGCTTTCATTTGAAGGCTGTTGAAACATTTAAAGAAATCAATCATAAGTGAGCCTTTCATTATGATGAAACCTTCATTATTGAGATAAATGCTCCACTTTTCACTACATGCACCTGAAAACTCCAAGGTTTATGTGCTAAAGCAGTGAAATGTTGGTTCTACCTCTCTCCTGCTTTGTGAATAAGGGCTGCAAGGTCATCACTGCGTGAGTAAGTAGTGTCATAAACCATCTCACTCGCTGTGATCCAGGCAGACATATATCTAGATGACACATTTAATTGTAGTACATTACTAATCAGGGGTACACACACACACACACATACATTAATATATGCAATATACTATAGTATACTGAAATATGCTTAATATGTGCAATATATTCACACAAAACAATTTCACCTACTCAGTTCAGTTAGTGCCTTACATTTTTTAAGTATAATCAAATTGACTGTACAAGTTATTTCAACTGTACAATCTATTTTTTTTAAATTATATTATACTGACAAACCCCTTTAATGTCACAAAGTGCCCCTATATTATGTTATTTTAAAGGTTCCTAATTTTGTTTTCCTAGGTTTACATGCACCAAAGGTCAAAACACACTGTCATTTTCTGATATATATATATATATATAATTTTTTATTTTTTTCAAGGCTTGCACCTTATTTTCTATTTCAAGGTTTGCGTTCACGAGCCACCGGGCACTGTTGTTGTGCGAATGAGTGGGCCGGTACACGTTAAGGGTTTTCTGTTAGAACGGTGCCGTGTTAATGATCTTATTAACACTTAGGCCCCTAAGTTAATAATGATCTTTGCAACAGAAGTGAATCAAAACTAACGTTAGCTGGACAATAACTTTATTCTAGAGCTTCTGTAAAGCCAAAACAATCTCTGTTACTTTAATTTCCTATTATCACTGTAAAGCTGCTTTGAAACAGTCCATATTGTTAAAAGTGCTATATAAATGGTGACTTGACTTGACTTATAATATACATTGCACATCACCACATTTTTCAATGATTCTCAAACGACTCGTCGGATGAATCAGTCTCTCTAAACCCCTCCTTTCCACGAGCCTGCTCTGCTATGATTGGTCAGACGGCCCAGTCTGTTACGATTGGTCTACCGCTTACAGAGCTTGTCTGAAGGTATATGACCATACCATAAATTAAGCGTAGCGTCAGTTCTGGCAGGTCACATTAGTCAAGCTTGCATCAGCTGACTCTCAGCTGATCCACGTCTACCTACAACACCTTTCACTGTACATGTGCTCCTTCTGTATTATCAGCTGCTATCGCGTTTCTCAGGAGCTAATTACCCTCCTCCATCTCCAGCTCCTACTCTCGCCAGTCAGTAGTTGGCATTCTGATTCCCCTTGAATCAGAATAAATTCTCGAATTATGTTGTACTTTAAAATCTTGAATGATTTCCATTACACGAGAGTAGATGTTAAAACTTCATGCTGATTTGTACTCGGCTTTCGCCAAGATAAGCACAAACTAAGACGTAGCTTTACAGTAACCTATGCTTCTCCATCAATTTACATATGGTGATGTGAATCTCCTTCTGTCCGGCGTTAACGGCTGCAGTGTACTTGGCGCGTCAGCACACACAACGGCTGCAACTACAGTGTGGTCTCCCCAGTGGACCAGCACTACAACCGTCTGGATTGAGCCGAGTAGGGGACATCTCTAGGGTCTTCAAGTGGGCACCTTCCGTCCTCAGTGTTTCGTCGACTAGCCCATGACACCTCAAGAGGGCTCGACAGTGACTCTGGCGTCCCAGAGTCACCCCCCTCCGTCCCCCACTCAACTCAGCCCAGCTTACTGACCTCTACATCCCTCCTGCTGCTGAGACCTAACCACAATCTCTCCGCAACCCAACCATACGCGCCAACCTGTTTGACTAAGGCTGTCGAGCCCCACTGTCTTCGTTAAAGTAGGTTCAGTGGGAACGGTTCCGTATGGCATACTACCTACCGCAAAACACAATATCTGCCCAAACACCAACCCTCATTCATGCAATATACACAGGAACGTAATAACTGTAATTACTATGCAAGCTATACAAATAAAACAACAGACTCTTCGAGTTTTTCAAGAATTCTACGAAACCGTAGCGTGGCGGCCTGTACACAGCCAGCTAGAATCTTTCCGTCTCAACCACAGCCAGTTGCTGCTCCTTTCTGCTGCTTCAGATAAGTTCTTTACTGTGCGACGCAACTCTTGGCCACTGAATCCGACGTCTCTGAGGAACCGGGTTGTAGAGTGCGCAACAAATCCTCGACAACCCACTTCCACTGGATAAACCTGGACTCTCCATCCTCGCTGTTCTGCTTCAGTGGCCAGATGAGCATACCGCAGTTTCTTCCTCTCATATGCCTCATCTACCGCATCCTCCCATGGCACTGTTAACTCTATCAGTTGAACAATGTGTGCTGATCCAGACCACAAAACAATATCTGGTCGTAGGTTAGTGGTGGCTAACATCAAGATCAGCCAGCAGCTTCCAGTCCCTAGCAGCTTCCAGTTGTCCTGGGCGAGAATTGGTTTTAACACCTTTTCTTGGTGGTTCCTCGCCTGGGTGGAGGAATATTGTCTTCTGTGTGTAATGTTTTGCTAGAACAGGTGGCAACTTATTGGTCATGTTGCGCTTGCCTTCCAATGCTAAAGCCAAACATCACAGTACTTGGTCATGGCGCCAAGTAAACCGACCTTGGCTAAGAGCCACCTTGTGCCTTAAAATGTGCCTTAATGTGGCAGGTGATGAACACAAAGGACAAGAGGGATCCTCTCCTACCCAGAGGTTTAGGTTCTGTGGTGATGGGAGAACATCATATGTTGACCTAATAAGGAAACTGATCCTACTCTCTTCCATTGACCAAAGGTCTTGCCAGGCCATCTTGCGTTGTTCCACACTCTCCCATCTCATCCACTCTCCCTGCTTGGCCTGGGAAATGGCCTTTATACACATCATCCTCTCCTCCTGCTTTCGCACCTCGTTGACTACCAGCTTCCTCCTTTGAGCTGGGCCTGCCTTGTGCCATTTAGGAGGAGCTAAACTGAGCCCAAAACCCCCTCTTCCATGCTGTACCTGTCCCACGATATCCCCAATTTGAAGGGCAGCCTTTGCCTCTACCACAGATTTCTTTGCTGACCACTTTCTACCAGTTTTTAACACAGGTGCTGCCTCCCTTACACATTTGTCGCGTGACTCTACTAAGGTCATTTCCAGTCTGACCTTGAACTCCTCTTAAGTTCACTTAAAGCGCACTTAAACTCCTCGGTTAAAGCAGAGACTGGCAGCTGCAATATTCCTTTACTATAAAGTCCCACTCTGCTGAGGCAGCATGGAACTCCCAACCATTTCCTAATGTATGAACTTATTAACGCTTCCAGCTTTTCCACTGTTGTCAAAGAAACCTCGTACACAGTCAGTGGCCAGTGGCCACAGCAACCTCGGCAGTAGACCAAACTGAAAGCACCAGAGTTTTAGTTTGCCTGGTAGAGCACAGCTGTTTATGCTCTTCAACCCTTCCACTGCTTGTCATCTAACTTCTCCCACTCGAACTGTGTCCTTTAGATCCCCATCGTATCCCAAGACTCTTCACTGGCTTCTCAGAAACTGTTGATATCTGCAATACATTCATGTTGGTTCTGTTCTGTTTACCCTAAGGGGGGTTATTGCTGCTCTCCCTGCTCTTATCCATGCTAGGCTGCATGGATGCGCAGGGAGTTCTTGCCCAGAACAGAACCAGACCACCAATCCAAACTGTATGCTAATTGTCAATCGTATTTGACCATAGTGGTCCTGACAGAACTGAACTTCAGCTCAGGAGGCTTCCTCAGTCCTCAGCGATTGTACACACTGTAAAGACAGTAACGATGACGTTGATTTTACCATATCAATCCGAGCACGAGTCCTCGGATTGATATGGCACGCTGCTGAGTTTGAGGTACATTATAGTGAATGTATCGTTACTGTTTTGTGATAGAGGTGATATTGTGACAGAAATGTATTAATTTGTTAGAGGAGAATGCATCAAAAATAATTCAATGTAATGTGGGTGTCACCCGGTGGATATTTTTGGTAAAGAAAGACCAACCTTATGTCTGTATTCTAAAGCATTCGTGAATTGCAACCGTTGCATTTTCATGTCTATGCTCAAAAAGGGGTGACAGTAAAATCGAGAACAAAACTAGTCGAATCTCGTATAACTTATAAAAAAAAGTTCACATTATTAAAGTTAAATTTTTTTGATGATACAAAGTAAAGCAAAAACGTGTTGTCTTGACTTATTGATAGATAGATAGATATATATACAAACAAAATAAGGTTTCACTTTATTTGGATGGTCCCTTTAACACATTCAGTTGACTAAGTAACGTTGCACCTACATTTCTACTAACTCTCACTAGAGTGTTTGTAGAGTATTAGTAGACTGGTAGGGTTAGGGATAGAATAAGTTGACATGTAGTTGCAAAGTTACCTATAGTCAGTAGAGTGTCTGTTGGAGGAGCATCACAATAAAGAGTTAGCAGATATTAAGCAGACAGTCTACTAACACTCTAATGAGAGTTAGTTGACATGTAGTTGCAAAGTTACTTATAGTCAACAGAATGTTCAAAAGGGACCATCAAAATAAAGTGTTACCCAAAATAATACTGTACATATTTTAATATTTTTATGTTATTATTATACATATTTTGATATGATTGTGTACATGAAATTAAAACGCAACTGAAATTGAAAACATACTCAGGTGTCATCATCTTGTCTCTAAATGCAGCTTCATGTCCGGCCAGAAGAACAGTTTCCAGAATGATTTTTGTTGCACTGCCTCCTTTCATCCTGGACGATCCGCTGATGGCCTCAGCCTAAAGAGAAAGCAGAGGTTCTTCAACTACGACAACAGCATCATTACTGCTCATGACGGGCGGAAGCTCCTTAAACAGCAGTAAGAACATTGATATTTATTGTTTATGTGTTCATTTAAATAATTATGTCAATGCAATTTCTCAAACCCCCAACACAGGATTTAGCACGTATGCTTTTTTATGTCTCTGCTCTGCCGCCATCCTCTCGGCAACATCTTTAAAGTGAAATGAACAGTCCTGCATTTGCTCACTCCTGTAAGGATGGCACGAGTGTTAGCAATCTGTTGTTGTTCTTGCATTAAAAAATGTTTATTATAAGTTTGTAATAAACAGAAAGGCATTTGTTTTTGTCTTGATTAGCCTTACCTCGCCATATGTACGGGATTGAATCCCAGAAGCACTGGGGTGAAGATGTCTAAGTGGTTCAGACAAAAATCCAGTTGCCCAGCAACAAATGGTGCCTTTGAAATAGAAGAGCATCATGAAGCACACTCACAGGTTACCTGCAGGTTGCTTTGATATGAGCATGCATTATAGGGTTGGGTGTTGTTTGAATTTTAGTGATTCCGATTCTTCTTATACTGTAAATTCCGATTCTTATCGATTCCTAGTTTTGATTCCAATAAGTAAAAAAAAAAAAAAAGTCTTTTTGCAAAACATTTAGTTGCAGCTGAATTCCATGAACAAAAACAGGCTAAAGAACTTTTCCACAAGGAACGTTTGCCTATGGTTTTAAACAAAAATACCACAGAAAAAAATTATGAACTACCGGTAATATAAATTTCAAGCATTATTAAAGGACAAGCAAACCGTCACGGGACGTGGTGGAGGACACACGAGGAAGACGACCAGTGTCACAACACACATCTTAATACAAACAAGAACGGACAAGGAATGAGGGAGAACACAGGGTTTAAATACACAGGGAACAGATTAGGGAAACAAGACACAGCTGGGGCAAATTAACTCAACACAGGTGAAGACACTGACAACTAACAAGGAGCGGGAAAACTGGGACACTGGACTGAACCAAAAACACTAAACAGGGGGAAACACAGGACATACATGTAACAGAACGCCCCCTCCGGAAAAGGTGCGTCCTCACGCCGTATTACATCAATAGGGGTGGGGGGGTGGGCGCCCTGGAGGCTGATGAGGGCGTGGACTATCTGGAGTAGGAAGCCTCCAGGGCGGAGCAGGCTGTGCAGGTGGCCAGGGTGGAGCAGGCTGTGCAGGCGGCCAGGCTGGAGCGAGCCCATCGGGCGGCCATGGCGGAGAGGACCCTTCGGGCGGCCACGGTGGTGAAGACCCCTCGGGAGGCCACGGCGGTGAAGACCCCTCGGGAGGCCACGGCGGTGAAGACCCCTCGGGAGGCCACGGCGGTGAAGACCCCTCGGGAGGCCATGGCGGAGACGCCCCTTCGGGTGATCATGGCGGAGGCCTATAGCCCCCCCAAAAAAAATTCTTGGGGAGAGTGACAGGCTCTGGGGCAGACGGGACGTGAACAGTCTCTGGCTGGGCAGACGGGACGTGAACAGTCTCTGGCTGGGCAGACGGGACGTGAACAGTCTCTGGCTGGGCAGACGGGACGTGAACAGTCTCTGGCTGGCCCGACGTGACGTGAGGGCTCTGGACTGGACAGAACCAGTGATGAAGGCGGTTCTGTACTGAACTGGACCAATGGCGAAGAGAGCTTTGAGCTGGGCAGGTCCAGCGGCGAAGACGGCTCTGGACTGGACAGTACCAGCGGCGAAGAGGGCTCTCGGCTGGACAGGACCAGCGGCAAAGAGGGCTCTGGGCTGGGCAGGTCCAGCGGCGAGGACGGCTCTGGGCTGGACAGGACCAGCGGCGAAAAGGGCTTTGAGCTGGGCAGGTTCAGCGGCGAAGAGGGCTCTGGGCTGGACAGGACCAGCGGTGAAGACGGCTCTGGGCTGGACAGGACCAGCGGCGAAGAGGGCTTTGAGCTGGGCAGGACCAGCAGCGAAGAGGGCTCTATGCTAGACAGGACCAGCGGCGGAGAGGGCTTTGAGCTGGGCAGGACCAGCGGCGAAGAGGGCTTTGAGCTGGGCAGGACCAGCGGCGAAGGCCCTGTGCTGGACGGGACCAGCGGTTCGTGTGGCCTTTAATGGAGGATCTGCCTGGCTGGACACCAGCCCTTGGCATCCATAGACAGACCTGATAGAGGCTCGGCAGGACAAGACTCAGGGCCCACAGTGAAAAGGGATCCGTTATTTTTAAGCACCCACTCCACATACGCCTCAAAGTTCTCTCGAGGTCCCACACCGGGCAGGCGTGCCTTAGTCTCTGCATTGAGGCCAGTATGGAAAAAAACACTCAATGAGCGATCGGGGAAGGAGCTAAGGCACGCCAGGTCGAGATAAGCCGCGGTGTGGGCCTCGAGAGATTGCTGGCCTTGTTCCAGCAAAATCAGCTGCGTCGTAGCATTCATAGTTGGTGTGGTCCATTCTTCTGTCACGGGACGTGGTGGAGGACACACGAGGAAGACGACCAGGAACAGGAGAACAGGAATTTATTTAAACAAAACTTAGGAGTCACAACACACATCTTAATACAAACAAGAACGGACAAGGAATGAGGGAGAACACAGGGTTTAAATACACAGGGAACAGATTAGGGAAACAAGACACAGCTGGGGCAAATTAACTCAACACAGGTGAAGACACTGACAACTAACAAGGAGCGGGAAAACTGGGACACTGGACTGAACCAAAAACACTAAACAGGGGGAAACACAGGACATACATGTAACACAAACACACAGTAATTAAATAAGAACAAAAAAAAAAAGCAGTAATAGCACAAACAAATTAAATAAACAATTTTTTTTAAGTGTTTTTTTTGGATTTGTAGGTATAGGTCTATATGGAAGCTTGTTTCCGCCACTGAATAAAAAAAATAATAGTAATAATTGCGAGATATGAAGTCAGAATTGTGAGAAATAAAGTCGCAATTGCGAGACATAAAGTCGCAATTCTGAGAAATAAAGTCGCAATTGCGAGATATAAAGTCGCAATTATGAGAAATAAAGTCGCAATTGCGAGATATAAAGTCGCAATTATGAGAAATAAAGTCGCAATTGCGCAAAAAAAAGACAGAATTGCGACTTTTTATCTCACAATTCTGACTTTTTTCTCATAATTGCGAGTTTACATCTCGCAATTCTGACTTTATAACACATAATTGCGAGTTTATATCTCGAAATTCTGACATCTTTTCTCAGAATTGTGAGATATAAACTCGCAATTGTGAGTTATCAGGCCAATTCTAAGGGGGAAAAAAGACTAACTTTTTCCCCCTCAGAATAGTTTATATCTCACAATTCTGACTTTACAACACACAATTTCGACTTTATATCACGCAATTTCGACTTTATATCTCGCAATTCTGACTTTATAACACGCAATTGCGATTTTATATCACGCAATTCTGACTTTATATCTCGCAATTGTGAGAAAAAAACTCAGAATTGTGAGATAAAAAGTCGCAATTACCTTTTTTATTTTTCAGTCTGTGGCAGAAACTGTCATGATTCTGCCATCAGGTCTGTGAGTTCTAGTATTTTGGCAGGATCATGACAGACCCATGTTCTGTGTGCAAGCACATGGCCTTGTGTTTTGGTCATGTGCTTGTGTTGTCTCGTCTCGTTACCCCGCCCCCTTGTTATCCTGATTCTGTCATTAGTGTTTCACCCGTGTCACCTGTTATGTTTGATTAGTCTTCCTATTTAATCCCCTTGTGTTTGCTGTCTTGTGTCGGTTCATTGTTATATGTTGATCGTGAGTACCCTGTGTACATCTAGTCATTGTTAGCATCTCTTGAAGACTTGTTTGTTTTCTTGTTCATTTGTTTCCCAGTTTAGTCTAGTCAGTCTGGTATTCTGTGTTCCATCTGTTTTGCCCCCTCATGGGTTTTGTTTTCCTGTTTTTGTCATTAAACCGTGTCTTATTTTATACTGTCTGCGTTTGGGTTCATCTCCGTGTCTCACCGTGACAGAATGAACCGACCTATTCTGAACCCAGCGGACAGTATGTCATCCCCACTAAGACAACAATCAGCTGACCAGGAACTATGGTGGCAGTCAGCTATCAACGACAGCAAGTTGGGCAAGCTTCCTTTCCCTCCCCAGGGAGAGAGGTCCCTGAGAGGATATGCTCAGGCCGTGGAGGCAAAGAGAAATTTTTTACCGGAGAGCCTGGTTAACCGTTACCTCATCGCGGGTCTCAAAGTTCCTCCACCTCTGGCGGAACGGGAGAGGCTGGCCCACCGCCCGTTCCGGGACATGGTGGACTGCTTGGTTCGTCGGGAGTCACAGGGTCCCATGGTGTCGTCACCTCCTGCCTGTCTGCCGGTGATCCCGGAGGATCTGAGGTTAGGCTTCGTGAGGCTTGGAGAACAGACTCGTCCCAGTTCGACTCCCGAGGCATCATCGGCTCCGCGAATCAGGGGGAAGAAGAGGAGGAGACCTGTGTCTGCCCAGCCAGAGCCAGTTCACGCCCCGTCTGTCCAGCTAGAGACTGTTCACGCCCCGTCTGTCCAGCTAGAGACTGTTCACGCCCCGTCTGCCTTCCTGAGCTGGGACTATCTGGAGCGTCTGGCTCGGATCTTAGAGAGGCCGGTGTTTCGGAGCTGAACCCAGTGCCCGTTCCAGAGCCCTTAAGGAGGGGGTACTGTCATCCAGAGGCCGCTACGGCAAGCGCTGTTCCAGAGGCCGCTACGGCAAGCGCTGTTCCAGAGGCCGCTACGGCAAGCGCTGTTCCAGAGTCGGTCGCCGTGAGCGCGGCACCCAGTCCTGTCCCGTCACCAACCATGTTCCCTGTCAGAAGTCCCCGGACTGTCTCCTCGTGTGTCCCTGTCTCTACTGCCCCCGGACTCCCGTTTGTTTCCCCCGTCATGGTTCAACCTAGGGCTGTTTCTCCTTCTACTCACACCACTCCACCCAAGTCCGTTCGGGTCCCCCGTCCTAAGCCCACACCCTGTAGTTCCAAGATCACCGTCCCGCCCACCCACCCTGGACTCTCGCTCAAAGACTCTGTTGTCCCTCCGCCTCCCCTTCCTTGTTTATTTTTTCTGATGTTTCACCCCAACCCGGTCATTGTTCACGCTTGTATGCCCCTGTTATTATTTGTCATGTTTTGTTGGGTCTGGTCTATGTCTCTGTCAGTCTTGTCCTGCGTTTAATGTCTCCTTGGGGAGCGTCTGGTAGCCGCTCTTTAAGGAGGGGGTACTGTCATGATTCTGCCATCAGGTCTGTGAGTTCTAGTATTTTGGCAGGATCATGACAGACCCATGTTCTGTGTGCAAGCACATGGCCTTGTGTTTTGGTCATGTGCTTGTGTTGTCTCGTCTCGTTACCCCGCCCCCTTGTTATCCTGATTCTGTCATTAGTGTTTCACCCGTGTCACCTGTTATGTTTGATAGTCTTCCTATTTAATCCCCTTGTGTTTGCTGTCTTGTGTCGGTTCATTGTTATATGTTGATCGTGAGTACCCTGTGTATGTTGATCGTGAGTACCCTGTGAACATCTAGTCATTGTTAGCATCTCTTGAAGACTTGTTTGTTTTCTTGTTCATTTGTTTCCCAGTCTAGTCAGTCTGGTATTCTGTGTTCCATCTGTTTTGCCCCCTCATGGGTTTTGTTTTCCTGTTTTTGTCATTAAACCGTGTCTTATTTTATACTGTCTGCGTTTGGGTTCATCTCCGTGTCTCACCATGACAGAAACAAGCTTCCATAGGTCTAGGCCTATTCGGGTTAAAGAAACTGTAATAGAATTTAAAATAACACTGCCCTTTATAAATAAGATATACATTACAAATATAGTAACAAAAGCTGTTCAGTCAAGAACAGATCATTTTCAGTCAAGCGCAGAGAACCTCCCCTTCAGGCTGTCCTGTCTCCTCGAAGGTCACAGGCAGCCCTTGGTAAAGCATCAACTACCTTGATGCTCGACCTTTCGAAGGCGAACCGTAGGTCTATCGCCGCAATCTTGATTTTTTCAACACATGCACTCCACTGTACCTGGGTGGGCGCCTGAAGAATTGAATTGTGAACAGGCCACCTTGGGAGATGGGGGTGTAACCCCTCCACCCGGGTCCTACTCGCCCCGCTCTGTGTGGGCCTCGAACCCGGGTCTCCGGCGAGAGAGTCAGGTGCTCTAACAAGGAGGCTAAAGACTGCAGCCTATTGAGATCAGAGGAGTGAGGTTTACTCGCACAGAGACTACTAGCTGGCCTTTATTACAGGGGCATTTAGAAAGTGCACTTTCTCTGAATCCCTCATCTCAGCAAGTTTGAGCCAAGAGTAACGTGGACATCGCTCAACCAAGAGCCTGCGCCGTCACCTTCGTAGCCCGGAGAGGCCCGGTCCCAACTGGCACCCTAAGTAGGCCTTCTTGCGGTCTTCCTACGAGTCCGCACTTTCGTGACGTAACGCCGCTTTAACAATTGAACTGATTTTTTTGGTTTTACAGTGTGGGAAAGCACGGCTGTCAACTCTGCGTCAGCCTCAGACTGCGCTATCACACCCAAAGGGCAGCACAGAGGAGTTATCCACGTCAGAAGATAGAAGCCCGCCCTCCAATGCTGCAAGTGACACTTCATCTTCCTCTCGAGCCCCAAATGAGAAATGAAGCTTGGCCAAATCGAGCCAAACTCATCCAAAAACTGTCCCGGGGGGACTGATCGTGCTGAGGAATGAGAGGCTTGTGGGTACTGGCCCGGCGGCAGCTCTCCTCAGATCGCCTTCAGCGCTCACCACCGAGGCCTTTCACCCAGAGGACAGGAGTCAGGCGAGGTACTCTCAGCCTCTTGAAGAAGTGCGAGAGCCGTGACCAACTATATCTTTATTGTTATCATTAGTTATCGCTAATAGTTGGTGTAAACTATCGGATTTTAAGTTATAATTCATTCGACGAATCTACAAATGGGGAGATTGTTTATTTGAATTTCTATTGTCTTTCACTGCTAAATGGAATGTGATTTGAGAAAACAGACTTCATACCGACATGCCACAGGATATTCCAATGAACAGCACGTCCTTCTTTCCTGCACAAACCTGTTTAGAGAATTTAGAATATTTCGAGAAGTTATTTAATTGTGTCATAAATATTGTTTTTGTTAAGTCAAGCATCACTATTAATATCATTATTCAAATACAAATACAAATGATTTAATATCTAAAAGTAACGTACCTCACTTACTTTTATAATCGATTAGACTTGATTGTCAACTAACAGATGGTGATCAATGGGTGAAAAAAAAAAAATACTTATATTGAAGGAGGGATGGAGGTGGGCAATTTTGACAATGAAAATGTGAAAGAATAGCCTATTGTCTCACCACAGGGAAACTGATTAATTACTATGGTAAAGCTGCATTGCATTGTTTGTGTTCGCTCTCTGCTCCTGCGCTCACCTTCTCCAGCATGCGAGCTCCGAGCCCCGGGTCGTCCTCTGGAGCCTCCTGTGATGTCAGCAGGGCCCTTTAAAAACAGAGAGCTGAAATACTGCAGTGTCACGCTGGAGTCTCTTCTTATGCATCAAACTGATGCATCAGACTGTTTATTCACCTGTCACCTCCAGCCATGATGTACGAACAGATCTGTTTCTGTCTTTGGGCCTTCAACATCTCATTAAAGGACGTCTGAGGTGATAGAAAATAGAAATTGATTATGACGAATATACATTATAAAGTAATTTAACACGGTGAGGAAAATGTCAGATCAATAAATCTTTCTTAAACTCTATACCATCAAAAGAAATGCGATACGGCCTGATGTTCCACAACCACTTAATACAATCAAACTCTCCTCTGGATCCTGCAAAGACAAATCAGTTATGATGTTTTAATATTGTTAAAGAAAATTTCTTAAATTAATAATGAAAAAAAAAAAAAAAAAGTGAAATATGTACAGTGCCTTACGAAAGTATTTCATATTTAAGCATTTTTCACATTTTATGATACTGCCTTATGTTAAACTGCTTTAAATTACCTTTTTTTCACATCAATCTACACTCCATATCGCATAATGAAGAAGAAAAAGAAGATTTGTGACAACTTTGCCAGTAAAAAAATAAATTAAAAAAACTGAAACTGAAACAATAGGCCTACATTGCATAAGTATTAAAACCCTTAACTCAGTACTTAGTTAAAGTACCTTTACAGCCTCAAGTCTTTTTGGGTAAGATTTGCCAAGCTTTGCACATCTGCATTTGGGGATTTTCTGCCATTCTTCTACAGATCCTCTCAAGCTCTGTCAGGTTGGATGAGGACGGTCATTTTCAGGTTTCTCCAGAGATGTTCGATTGGGTTCAAGCCCAGAATCTGGCTGGGTCACTCAAGGACATTAACAGAGTTGTCCATAAGCCTAGCATTGTCTTAGCTGTGCGCTTAGGGTCGTTGTCCTGTTAGAAGGTGAACCTTCTGCCCAGTCCGAGGCTCTGAATGCTCTGGACCAGGTTTTCATTTAGGATATCTCTATAGTTTGCTGTGTTGAGCTTTTCTTCTACCCTGACAAGCCCCCCAGTCCCTGCCGCTGAAAAACACACATGATGCTGCTACCACCACTTTACTGTTGGGATGGAGTTGTGCAGGTGATGAGCAGTGCCTGCTTTCCTCCATACATGATGCTTCGAACTGAGCTTCAGCAGAACTTTAGGTGCTTATTTGCAAATTTCCGGTGGGTTTTCATGTCTTCACAGAGGAGAGGTTTGAGTCTGGCCACTCTGCCATAAAGAGTGTTACAGTGATGTCCTTCTCAAAGTTTCTCCCGTCTGCATATATGATCATGGAGCTCAACCAGAGTTACCATCAGCTTCTTGGTCACCTCTCTAAGCAAAGCCCTTCTCTATCGATTGCTCAGTTTGCAATATGTCGATTTGCTCAGCTCTAGGAAGAGTCCTGGTTGTTCCAAACTTTTTCCATTGCGGATTATGGAGGATACATGCTTCTGTGAACCTTCAATACAGCAGATTTGTTTTTTTTTTGTAGTCTTCCCCAGATCTGTCTTGACACCATCCTGTCTCTGAGCTCTACAGGCAGTTCTTTTGACCTCATGGTTTGGTTTTTGCTCTGATATACATTTTCATACCCATTCAATTGAATTTGCCACAGATTACCGGTAACTCCACTCGAAGTGTAGTAACATCTCAAAGATGATCCAGTGAAATTGGAGCTACATTTCAAGTGTCCCCGAAAAGGGTATGAATACTTATGCAATAGAATTATTTCCCTTTTTTATTTTTAATAAATTTCGAAAGGTATCACAAATCTGTTTTTAGCTTTGACGTCATGGTGTATGGAATGTAGATATAGAAAATGTAAAGCAGGTTTTAGGATATATTGTGAAAAAAAATTAAGGGGTGCAAATACTTTTGCAAGGCACTGTACATAAATATTAGTGCTGGCTAACGGTTAATCACATCCAAAATACAAGTTTATGTTTACATAATATATGTGTGTGTACTGTGTATAATTATTATGTATATATAAATACAAACACAAAAATATAAATAAATACTGACCCTCAGAATCATTTCAACCCTCTTTGCAACATCCACCATCGTTTGGATGACAGGTAAACTATACAGTGTCTAAATAACAAAATGCACAGGTCAGCATTGTATGGGAAACTCTTGTTAGGAGCGTAACGACTTAAGAAAGCACAATTATTCTTCACATATCCTGTTTACACCCGATAGGCCAAACCTGATAAAATGGGTCATGATTTATTTTTTTCTCAAAAATCTCAGCGTCGCATCGTTTCAGTATTTGCACCATCTGTTTGCTGTGCGCTCTGTCGATATCTCTGCTGATGGGGTTGCTTTTCTCTGTCACGGGTAGAGAGAGCTCGTAACACGACTGCTGTGTTAGACAGAAAACCGAGCACTTAAGATTACCAGCATCACTCAAGAGCTCCTATAATTACATTTAGGCTTACAAGGGAAAAAGATTTGTTGGTCTATTACCAGCTAAAGGACATTTGAAATGAAAGCACAGACAGTTAACAGTGTTCAGTTTTCACTCACCTTCAAGTGATCCATATTTATCAGACAGTATGAGGACTTCAGCTTTTCAGGGCAAACTATGCACAGTGTAAAAGCATGAAATTCAATGCACTGAGAGGAAAAGCCCTGACAGAGAACAAAGTGAGCATAACAAAGTTCACCAAATGAACTTTGACTCATCAGCTGTAAAAAAAAAAAAAAAAAACTCTAAAAGACGGACATTGACACACACACCAGAATGTTGTTTTTTTCTTTTCAACTGTGTTTGATTACTGCATATAATGATCAGTAGACAAGGCAGTTTTCAATTCTATTCTATTCTATGCTAGTATGGTATATTCAATACTGTATATTCTGGTTATTTCATGTTTATTTTAATTGCACATAGCCTTCTTTTTTCTAATTATTTTATTCATTTTAGGATTTTTATTCACATTTTTGGTTGTGTATTCTTAATCATAGTAGACTATTACATTATTTAATTTACAAATTTGATCAATTTTGTCTTAAAGAATCATGCTTTATATTAAGCATATGTTACAATAAGGTTAATTAGTTAATGTATTTACTAACATGAACTAACAATGAGCAATACATTTGTTACAGTATTTATTAATCTTTGTTAATGTTAGTTAATAAAAATCCAGCTGTTCATTGTTTGTTCATGTTCACAGTGCATTAACTAATGTTAACAAATACAACCTTTGATTTTAAGTATTAGTAAATGTTGAAATTAATATTGACTAAGATTAATAAATGCTGTAGATGTATTTTTCATAGGTTATGCAACTAAGGTAGTTAACTAATGTTGACTATGAACCTTATTGTAAGGTGTTACCGAATATGTTGTTGGGTGTTGGTTTAAAAACAAATACCTTTTTCTGTCAAACACAAAATCTGAGATTTGGCAAATTACTGTGGATTGTCACTAATTTTGACCAACTGAGTCATGTTTAATTAGAATTCATTTGCATAATTTCCCAAGCCCAGCAGAGGGAATCATCTAAATACAGCCATTTTTATTTTATTCATATTATTCTATCTCTGTAATTCTTGTGTATCCATAATATAATAACACAATATTGCAGTACTATTCCATTACTGATCTATTCCATTCTGTAATCACAAACAAACACTATTCTTTTCTCACATCTGATGTGAAATATTCAAGTATTTTAAATGGCTTTGTTATTATAGCTTTAGTTTAGACTATATCAAGTCAAAATGTTGCCTCTTCTGTTCTGCTCGCACAGTTCGGTGTTCTATTCCATGAGAGATTCTCCTGATGTTGATGTTTGCCGTGGTCTTTCGATGTGCAAGTTTGAATGGCGTCATAAATCGCGTCTAACGGATCTGGTGAGGGTGTTTTTACTGCATTCATCCCGGTGCAGGTTCGTGCGTCATGCGGCTATAGAAGGGGAATGAGTGACTGCTGAGAATCAATCAGTAACTGGCCACCTGTGGGTCATGTGCCCGCGATGCAGCGCAGATTTATTGGTATTCTTAAAACGTCTTACACGAGCGAGCGCATAAAGTGAGAAAGGCGAACGCGAGCTTTGTGATGGACGCCATGCGCGCTTACGCGTTACATTAGACGCGCAGCGAACATGTAACTGGTGGCGAGGCTGACGATTCTCTAGTCGCGTTGTTAACATCAAAAAGTGTGATTTCTTTAGCTCTTAAATCACTGAAAATAATCGCAAAAGGAAGCGTCTTTCTCGCTCTTTCTCTCCGGCCGACGCGGATTCGGATGGCAACAGATTGAGGTGCGTTGGACATCAGACTGCGTGGATGCTGAAGAAGAAGATGCTGCTGGTTTATTAGATTGTTTATCATCGTCACAGTGTAGCAAAGAGAATGCGTTGTTGATAATCATGTGATGATTGGAGGGATGTTAACTTCAGGTTACTTTTCCTTGGAAATTGGCGTCACTCATCTGGAATAACTCTTGAGGAAGATATGATTCACCTATTCACTTTTATGAGCCTTGTTCTATCTCTGTTTGGATGCCACATCTGCTTTGCAGGGGCGAGTAAGTAAACTTATGTTCCTTCTGTCGAATAAATGTTCCTACAGTTTCATTCATGACTAATAATAAAGATTGAATGCAACGTGCATCTCTCTATAATTGTGCGCTCATGTGTTGATCATCATACAGTCTATAAGCATGCTGTGTTATATAATCCTTTCAGTGTTTTTAATGCAAGCCCTTCCCGAGCCAGCAGAGGAAGACATTAAGGAAATTGCCTTTTACTCTGTTAGTCGTTGTCTTTGATTTAATGGGCCAATAGATACTGAGAGAATGACCTGTGCTAGAACATGTCATCATGGCATTTAAGTGCCAGTGCGATATATGGTTTATGTTCTTAAGGGGAATAACAGTCTTTATGATGCTTTCTTGTATTAAAGATGATTTGACCCATCTATTATTTTTGTTTTTTTAATAGATTGCAGTCATTGAAGAACTCATTTTGCACACCCTTCGATGCACTAAAAGTCTTTTAAAGTGCTTGCCATCCAATGTATACCAAACATCACAGTTCACAGTTAATGGAAAGACTGGCAGCTCTCTCAATGCACTTATTCTTACAAGAAAGCGTATTGTGATTTCTAAGCTGATGTATGTTCATGAAGCATTGACCTTGGCACATTACAATTAGCTTAATTTCTCTTTTCTTGGCAAATAACAAGATAAAAGGATGAGTGCGGATACTGACGCAATGTTTGCTCTCTTGCTGAGCTCTGTGACTGTGTTTGACACTGGCTGAATTGCCTTGCCAGGGTTGCAGTCATGGTCTTATTGGGGACTAAATTATTTACAAGGACGTGATTAGCTCTGAAATGGAAACAGAGATTGGGTTTAGTGTAATGCTCTTATAGTAGGGCTCTATTATGACATTTTGAGCTGTACCATATAACTGTACTAAAGGTTAATTTTCTGTTTGTACTTATGATCAATATGCACTTTATTTTACAGTGTCCTTGTTACATGTTACATGTAGTTTCTATAGTAATTTCGTTAACACTTTATTTTACAGTGTCCTTGTTACATGTTACATGTACTTACCATAGTAATAACAGTAAATTATGCATAATTACTAACCCTCAACCAAATCCTAATCCTAACCTAACCCTAGTAAGTAAATGTAGTTGCTTAATATGACTCAGTACTTAAATATAAAATTACACTGTAACAATGACACCTTAAAATTAAGTGTAACCATAATTTCTATAAATTTACCATAATTACATGCAACCAACCCTAAACCAAACCTAGTCCCTGCTAACCCTATAGTAACTATGTAGTTAATTAATATTACTCAGTACTTAAATGTATAATTACACTGTAACAAGGGCACCTTAAAATAAAGTGAAACCTGCACTTTATTAAGCCTGTAATTTCAAAACTGATAATGTGCATATTCACAAAAAAGCGTTTTTGATGTTAGACATTCTGTTGATTATGAGCAAATTTCTCACTTTTCTTTCTTTTTTCTTTCTTTTTTTTTTTTTGCTCCAGGATGTTACACTAGCAATCTAGCCTGTTTTATTCATAAGGTCATCTCAGTAATTTAATTGTTTTCTATCTACCTCTTGAAGTAATATATGCCAATTTATGCATGAGCTCTGGTTAGAAAGCATACTTATGAAAATAAAGATGTCAATGCCTTTGGATGTGCATCTGGACTTACAGTAATAGAGCTTATGGTTCACAGGGATACAGGTTCAGGTCTGACCTGGGTCATATCCCATGGTAGCTTTTTTATTTCATATACACGAAATTATTGGATATCAGCAAAATGCCAAATGTTTAAAATCTATGTAATATACATGTTTGCAAAGACCAAACGAGTCTTGCTCTTCAACCCATGTCCTGTAATTTTTGGTCTTTTTTGCATTATCTTATCTATACACCTATTAAATTAATGTGCAGGAGTTATTTCTACCTCATCTGAGCATTGCAACATTACTTTTTAGCAACATGTTGTCAGGTTTTGATATTTTTTTACTTTAATAAAAATAGCTCATTTACCACTTGAAGCACAATTTCTAATTGTTCTGACTCTAAGGTATGTTGTATGATTGTCAAGACACGCCATTTTTGTATCGTGCATATAAAGCAGATTTACATGTCGTTATATTGTAGCAGAAGGTCAAATGTGTCACAATGCATTAGTCTTTATCTTCTCTAGATTGTTTGGATTGTTATTTTTATTTTAAGAATATGTTGTTGGGTGTGACACAAACTACTGCATGTCCTTTTTCAGTCAAACACATTTTTCTCCTTGACACATGAAGTCAGAGATTTGGCAAAGCACTGTGGATTGGCAGTAATTTTGACCAACTGAGTCACGCTTATCCCATTAAAGAGAAGAATTAAAATTAGAATTCATTTGCATAATATCCCAGCAGAGTGAATCAGCTGAATACAGAAATGTTGCATATTTATGAACTGCATTATTGTAGTTGTTCATTGAGCCGGTGTCAAGTTGTTCCTTGGATGTCTCGGGGAAGCAGAGACGGGATGAATCTATAAATACTTCTGTACAAAGCGTCTCAAAATCCCTCACAAACATCATCCATTTGCATACAACAGTAACATGTTTAATATAATGTTTTTAAACATGACGGTCATGGAGCCTGAATCTTTTATTGAATATTTCAGCTTAAATTTCAGTTGTATATGTCTGAGTGCATCAGATGGTTGTTCTAAGAAATGATTCATGCTGGTGATTTGTGTTTCACAGACCGCCCTGCTGCACCTGTCAATGTCTCTGTTACACACCTGCGGGCAGATTCGGCCACCGTGTCCTGGAATATTCTGGACGGAGAGACCGTAATTGGCTTTGCCATCTCACAGCAGGTCAAACAAAAGTTATTACAATGAGATTCAGCCCTACGGGCCTTTATTACAATCGAGGGAGTCTGATGTTTCATATCTGCAATAAATATGCCCTCTAATGAATCTTTAAACGTGTGTATGTGCGTTGTGTTTTAGCGCCAGGACGGGTTGATGCAGCGTTTCATTCGTGAGGTGAACACTACCAGTCATGCTTGTATACTTTGGGATCTGGATGAAGACACAGACTATATTATCCAGGTCCAATCCGTCGGACTCTATGGAGAGAGTCTGGCCA